TAAAAATCTGCTTTGTAAAGCAACTACCAAAAGCAGTCTCCTCTTCATCACATCTTCATCCTTTTCTAAGCAGTTGTTCCCATTTCACAAGTCAGAAATATCTAATATGTATGTGACTTCCAGGTTTAAACCAAATTAACAAATTATTTCTTGATTCAACTTTGCCATTTACAAAGGAGTTGAAAGAAAAATCCAAACCCTGATGGACCCATATTGCCCTAAAAGCCTCAGCCACCAAATTCAGTATCTAGGAGGCAACTGGGTGGGTGATGAAGAGACTCTTCCTCCAGCAGTTCTGCAGAAGTAACAGCAAGTAGGACTCCTGGTGGTCTCTGGTGGATGCTCACCCCTGCACAGGGCTGCAGACTGGGGCAGGAGCCTGCCTTCAACTCCAGACTGACTTCATCCTTATGCTGCTCTTTCTGCCATGCATGGAGGAACCTTAACCTTCATCAGTACTGGGCTCCAGCTCACAGAGGCTGAAAGTAGATTTATTTTCAGTCTATGTTGTAACTGTTGAGTGAGTGCAGTAATTTCAAGTTTCCCTTGCCCAAGGACAGTACAAGTTCCTGCCATAACCTTGCCCCTCTCCCTGTGAGAAGCCTGGCTGCTGGTCACAGAGCACCCGACCTGCCATCACCTGTAACATGAATATTCCCACACCAGCTCAGGGGGGATGTGAGTTACTGAGGGTGGAAGATAAAGACAGCTCCCAGAAGATCTCTTTTCCAAGGAGATGTAGTTAATGTAGGCAACACAGCTCTGAGTGCTGCAGCTGAATACTTTAGGATAAGCTGAATGGATCTCCAGGTTCTACAGCTCTCATTGGAACCACCAAAATGCAGGTCAAACCACAGCTTGACTCCTTGAAGTCAAAGAGCTGGACTTTGATGATCCTTGTGGGTCTCTTCCAACCATATTCTGTGGTTCTGTGTTCTGTGACTCTGAATCTCACTGTGAGAGACTGAGCATGGGATTGAGGTACCCAACACAGACATTTTACATTACTTGATGTGCTCTTCCCTGGGGTCACCCACTGAAGCTCTGGAAAGGCTCCCTTAGGTCCTGAATCATACCTGCCAGTCCCTGTCAGTGTCTCTGGCCCCATATACTGTGGATGGTGACACCCAGCCATTCCTAGGCAACAAGTCCTGCTCCAGAAGCTGTCAAATGCAATGTTTAACAGGGCAGAGCATGGCCAGTTTCCACATTAAAAGGCTGAACAAACAGAAGACTCTATTTTAGGGGTGTTTTTTTTAAATATAATTTTTAAACTTTTTCTTTTTTAATAATTGCTCAGAATGTAAAATCTGAGTTTGTCTCCTAACCAGTTCTGTGGTCAGAGTACAGAGTTTGGGCTTAGCTACCACAGTATTTTTATTGTCTCTAAGGAAAGAGAAAAAAGCCCACAGGCATTTGATACAGCTTCCAAAAAGCAGCTAATTCAAAACTGTTTAGAAATTGTTAAATAATTTAACACAAAAAATATATTTTCCCCAAATGACCCTGTTGCTTTGTTCTGTCTTTGTAATTTGTTTATTTGACAGGCAAAAAATTGAATGAAATAATGGTCTGTTTGCTATAATTACTGTAATTTACACATGATTTTTAAAAAGGAAAAAAAAAGAGCAACTGACAGTGGTGCCATAAATCCCATGTGTTCCTTTTAAAAATCTGAATAATATATTGTCTGGCTTTCTAATGCAATTTTAGCAGTACATTGCCACAGGGCCAAAACAAAATCCAACAAAAAATCAGTCTATTCCCAGGTTTAAACCTCAGACTCAGTGAACAGATTGTATGGTGATTTACCACACACTTGGTTGCAGAGACAGGAACACCGAGATGCCAAAGCCACAACTTTCCCTTACTCAGGGGTGGTTAGGAGAGAGCCACCAGCACTGTCCCTGTCCTACCTGCCATGTCTTGGCTGTGTGTTCACCCGGCACAGTGCTGAACTATACAAGCATGGTCATCTGTCAGGCACAGAGGCACCTGAATTTTATGGAGAGCAGCTTCTGACCATGCCCAGGGCTGTAACTGTAGGTTTACTGGCTTCCCAGATGGCAGACCTACTTTGGAAAGTAATCTCGGGCCACCTTTACCAAGACTGCAAATACAAACAAACAGACTCAAGCAAAAACTGTGGCAGTTTTTCAATCCTCCAAATACACCCTCCTTTCTCACCTGGTATTGCAGGTGTCCTTTTAGGCACATTCCTGTAGGAATTGCTTCTGTAAGAGGTGGCAGCTATAGAAGCCTCTCTTTGATGACTGAAATCTGGGTGAGTACAAACATGGGTCTTGATCTGGGTCTGCAGCTCATGTACTCTGCTCACTAAAGACAGATTCTGCCTGGTAAATGTCACTTAACTGACTGGAGAGAAAATAAGGTTTAAGAAAAAGCAGGGAAATGGCACCCACTGAATTCAGGGCACAGAGACAGTCTGGGGTGTCTCTGGGAACAGACTGAGCAGATAGCCATATGCTAGGGAATACGCTGAAGCAAAGGGAGTTAGGCTGTGTCCCCTTTTTACGGGAGGAAAATGCTCAGAGATGTAGTCTGTGTCTAGCTCATGCAGATTTTTCAATTGCTATTAAAGATGCAAGTGTTTCCCTTGTGTTCCCAATACAGACTCTTGGAAATGGCTCCTACAGACATTCAAATGAAACAGATTATCAAAAAAACCCTTTCATCTCCTTCAACTGGATGCCACTCCACCTCACCTACTGTGAATTGCACTAGATGACCCTTAGAGTTCCCTTCTAACCCAAATTATTCTGATTCTATGATCTCACACTGAAATTTGTTTAACAGAACATCATTATGCAGATTCCCTTCTCATGGTGCACTAGAATGTACTGAACTCTGTGACATGCATGGCACATCAGATACACATACATGATGAGAGCCTGTAGACATGAAGGAGTCACCATCATGACAGGAATTAAATGTCACATTTGCATGGCTCAGTTAACATGTTTGACCTCCATAACACCTTCATTTACCCAAAACAATGTCTCTTCCCATGTTAGGAGATGCTCTCAAATAGGGACCCTCTTCTACCTCACCACTGGAGGGATGAAATCTCAGCTTGGACTAAGAAAAATGCTTCTATTAAATATGTGATCAACATGTTTGCTTAATACTAAAATCCAGCAAGCTAACCCAAGATTCAGTACAGTAACACATGTACCATTGAGAGTTACTTAAAAGTGGCAACCTTTTCACTTCATGGTATTTTCACTTTGATTGGTCTTTCCATAGCAAGAAACACACTAAAATCAAATAAAAGATTTTATTTGCATAGGAAATAGCAAAAATAGCACCATTAAGAGCTACACAGTAAAGACTTTGTTTAACCCTGGTATTTATACTTATTATTTAATTTTATTTTCAGTAAAGTGGAGGCAAATTTTATCTGCTACTGGTGAGAAAAGACTCCAAGACTGACAAAACCTTATCTCTGCACTTCAGCCTCCACTGAGGGTATGATTCCAGGCTGGTTATCAACAGCTGTGGCTTCTGCTTAGGCTGGCCAGTTTGGAAGCACCATGCCATATGGAGAATGTGTTAGCAGGGCAGGGTGCCTCTTTTCTGTCTCCAGAAGAGCAGACCAGATTCCCAAACACATTCAGCACTTAGTGCCTGTGTCAGGTCCATTATTCCCATCTCTCACTACAAACTGCTTTGTGCAGAAGAGGTTTGAAAATGCAGCTGCTTTGCTGGCTGGCACATATGCGAGGCCTGATCGCTTCTCAGATCTGCACTTAGTGGGTGGGCATGGCTTGGTCAGAGGGTTAAGCTCACAAATGACCTGTTGTGAAGGTCTTTTCAGACTCCATCTTGTTTTTACTTTGTCTTTGCATTCTCAGGTTGATTTTGGCTATTAGCTGATAGGCAGAAATGGCCACTGTCTGGCTTGTTGCTGTCACCCTCAAAGACAATTTCCATCATGTTTATGAACATCTCTTTGCTCTGATCCTTTCATCAAAGATCAACATCCTCCTAGACCAGGCTGCACGATGCACCAGCCCTCTAAGTAACACAACTTGCCAAGTTATTGTCATAATGGATCAGCCAAAACAGTGAATTGGGTCACAGTTGGCTTCTTGAGTTTTTAATACCAGGGGGCTTTCTATGCTGCTCTGGCTGACTTTTGGGTGAAGCAGTGGTAGGGAGCTGTCCATGTGCTGACATTGCACAAGGGATTCGGCATCCCTTACCTGACAGAGGATAACCTTGCAAATGCCTCTCCCTGACAGAGGTAAGTAAGCTCCATTTCTTGGAAAAAAACTCTCCAGTACAGAAAGGTTTAGATCTTCTGTGTTGTCCCTTCAGGCCTTTACTATGAAATCCCACATGACTCCATGAAAAAGTAGCTCCTATAGAATACTGATTCATTTATCAGCAGAAGAACAGTAAATTTAACAGGGATCTTCTGGAAAGCACACACTAGCAGTTCAAAATTGTCCATTGGGAGTTGGATGTACAGGAGACCCTTTTCCAGCTTTGGTATGACTTTATCTTCCTCCCTGCCATGTGGATGGCAAATAGCACCACAATCCTGTGCCTGTGTGTCACAGTTAATGCTCCAGGCTGCAGGATTTGATTTGAGCTGAAAGGATGAGAGATAAAGCTTTGGAAAAAATTAATCAGATAACAGATTAAAAATTTGGCATTGGAATGGTTTTGCATAAACAGTCACACAACACATTGCTATTATATGCTTTTCAAAAGAGGAAAAAACCCACTTATTTTTAGCATTTTAATATGCCCTGATGTTAGAGAAAACAAACAAAAAATAAGTTCACATATCACATCAAAGATAATAATAATAATAATAATTATAATTCATAAAAATAATCTGACCGACCGGCAGCATTTGTTGGCTTTAGAAGGCCTCCTGCGAAAGAAACGCAGCTGAAGACATTGGAGAGCTCTTGGCAGGTGTAAGGAATTCAAGTTTTCAAAACAAGTCTGGGGGTGCTCCCTGCACGCTATGGCCCTTTGACATTGGAGGGCCGGGCAGCCAGGCTTGCATAGTAAGCGCACTGAGAGGGGTCACACTGTCCACTGGCTCCCGGGGGTCCTTGGGGACCTGCCAGACCTGGCACACCAGCTTCACCTTGAGGGCCAGGGGGTCCTGGCATCCCATCTTTGGCATAACCAGGCTCCCCTGGGAGGCCTGAAAGAGAAACAAAATGCCCTGGTGAGTGGCACCAGAGTGACACACCCAGCGTGCAGTACTCAGCAGTATAACGTCACAGGAGATGGCTTTGCTGCCAAACTGGGATTCAGAGAGCAGCTTCCATAGGTTTGGATTTGGCTAGGATGTATCTCAAGGAAACAACCAGAGTGTCTCCTCTGAAATAAAGATTTCCACTCCCTATGGCGACCTTGGGATGCTCAGCTCTGATACGGCTGCTCTTCTTCCTTCATGCTGAAGTCATGGAGCTGCATGAGACAACTCATGACATACAGTCCTCACAGAGAGGAAGTGAGAATGGGAAAGTGGAGGCAAGAGCCAGACTGGGGAGATAATTCACTGGTGCAGAGCATAGTGGGCACATTGTTATTTGAATGCAATGCAAGGCCAGTCTACCAGATGCAGACAATGGGGTTATGAGGGCTTCCCATAGTTCCTTTCCCAAGAAAGCAGTGAAGGCAAAACTTATCAATGGTGCCTAATTTCAGACTGCAGACAAACTGTATTTGCTGTTGCTTTGTCAGTAATAGTAAAGCAGAAGCTGTATCCCCAAGGCACAGGTCTTCAATATGACCTTTTATAACATCTGAAGCTGTCTGAACCTCTGGGTTCAGCTTGGTCACAGGAAGACTCTGCCAAGGACAGAGAAAACACTTCACAGTGCATCTAATAATTAAAGCTTCACTCTGGATTTGACCCAAAGGTCAGTTAACTTAGCTGCAACTGAGATGCTTCATTGTACTCATTCATCAGGCTGAGGAAATAAAGGTAGCCAGATATGATGTTAATAATACAGTTCTTCCCTTTGGGCCACATCCTACAGAAATTGTGTATGTTGTTTTTATGTCATCCTGATCATCTCTTTAGTACAGCAGAGACCTGTGTCCTGGTAGTGGTTCTATGTGATGTATTTTGTCGGGTGTTCTGAATAACACACCTGGAATTCCTGGGGGACCCATTTCCCCTCGTTGACCAATGCCAGTGTCTCCTTTCTCACCCTTTGCTCCTCTTTCTCCTGTAGAGGGAAAGAAAAAATATTAACTGATGAGCATGGTCTACAGAACTAAGCATTAGTATAGGTCTTCCATCCACACTGAAGCCAATATATTTGGTAAAAACAGTTCCTAATTGTGGCCAATCCTCTGAGAGAGGACATTAAGCAGGAATGAAGACTTGCCCCACTCTAGTTCTGGCCAGAGGTGCAACACACCAGCAACTGCTGGTCATAGTTAACAACTATGGTTTAACAGACTGAGGTTTCTTCCAATACCTGCATTTTGAGGACAATTTATAAGCTACTAAAGCGAAAGGTGGATGCCAAAGTCGAGTGGACACATCCTTTTATTGGACTGCCCCAACACACCAAGTTTCACTTACCTTTGGGACCAATTGGTCCAGGTGGCCCTTCAGAGCCAGTCTGTCCAGGCCGGCCAGGCTCTCCCGGAGGGCCAGTTCTTCCTGGGAGTCCTTCCTTCCCAGGGGGACCAGGAGGTCCTGGTCTGCCATGAGATGCTTTCACCTGTGCAGGCTGTATGTGAGCCAAGATGTAGGGTAACTTTGCTGCAATGAGAGGGAAATGGTTTTGTTAGACTAGAAGGACTATGCTCCAAGAAATGGAGAGGCAGAACCAGGGGCCCCGTAAAGTCCAAGTCCTGTCACAGGGCCACCCATTTTTTGTCCCCCCTTAATACATGACTGTGACTCTCTGATCCTCTCTCAATTATTTAAATCTCATTTCTTGATAGCATTAAATTTCTCCTAAATTCCATACTTTATCATAAACCTTTTTCTCATTCTCTGCTCCTTGTCCTCCAAGAATCTGAAATGTCCCTTCCTTTAGTTGTGCAGATGGTGAATCCCTGTTAAACTGGGACAACTGCTGCTCTGAAAAGGAGAGCCTTTTCCTACTGCTTCTATGATGCAGACATGGCTGGTCTGTAGGGAGAAAGCTTTTCTTGTTCCAGGCTGTTCCATGCAGGCACACACTGCCTGGCATTTCAGTGCTAAGACCCTGAACAATCATGCTGGTTTTGGCTGGGGTGCAGTTAATTTTCTTCATGGTGGCTGGCAGGGGGCTATGTTTTGGATTTGTCTTGGTAATACAGAGATGTTTTTGTTATTGCTGAGCAGGGCCCACACAGAGCCAAGGCCTTTTGTGCTTTTCATACGACCACACTGGGGAGGAGATTGGGGATGCAGGGGAGGTTCAGAAGAGACCCAGCCAGAACAGGTGACCCAAACTGACCAGAGGGATTCCAGACCATGTGACATCATGCTCAGTGTATAAAGTGAGGGGAGGAAGAAGGGGACATTTGCAGTGATGGTGTTTTTCTTCCTAAGTACCCATTACCTGTGATGGGGCCCTGCTCTCCTGGAGATGGCAGAACACCTGCCTGCCCGTGGGAAGCAGGGAGTTAATTCGTTACTTTGTTTTGCTTCTGGGTGCAGCTGTTGCTTTCCCTATTAAACTGTCTTTATCTCCATCCATGAGTTTTCCAGCTTTTACTCTTCTGATTCTCTCCCTGATCCTGCGGGTGGGGGAGTGAGTGAGAGATGCATGGGCCTTGGCTGCTGGCTGGGGTTACACCATGACAGCAACCTTGAGAGCTCATAAAACACTCAGCATCATGTAAACATTCTGCAGAATAAAGGGAGAAGAGTGTTCTGTCTTCTCTTCATTGATGCTTTCAGACTGGTGTGGATATTGAAGACTGAGAGTGTGTAAATAAAATCTGTGAAATGATCACCCCATTTACTTGTGATCTTTAGCAAGGAACAAAATGCCTGCAGTTGTGTGTCAGCTGCATCAAGAGCTGTGTGAGAAGGACTACAGCTCTGCATCTCACTGTCAATGGGATCAGTAGTGGTCTGCAATTCTCATACTTGGAGAGAAACAGCAGACCATACCCCCTCCAGCCTCTCTTCTTATACTGATGAGTATCAAAAGTCATAGGCAAAAATCACGAACATTTCTTCTCCAGTTGGGACCTCAAAAGAAAGTTTATTGTCTACTCTGATTACTTTCTGTGCTATTGCTGGGAAAATCAAAGCCTGGGGAACTGTAAAGCACATTTCATTTCACACATCTTCCAAGCAAGCTTGCTGCAATGCTACCTTCCTTAAGGAGGAGAGATTCAGGTTCCAGCCCAGCTATGGAAAGCATCTTTCATACTCTCAGATCCACCTTTTAGCTTCCTGGTACTAATTACTTACCATCTAGCTGCTTGGATAACTCCTCTTGGATGAGTCTCCTCAAAGTCTCTAGAGATGGGGGTTCTCCCTAAAGAGTCAGAATCACAGTAATGAGACTACATAACCACAGTAAAGGGATCAGATAGTTATATAGGACAAGGGGGAACAGTTTTAAACTAAAAGAGGAAAGATTTAGATTAGATGTTAGGAAGAAATTCTTTACTGTGAGGGTGGTGAGGCACTGAAAGGGGTTGCCCTGAGAAACTGCAGATGCCCCATCCCTGGAAGGCAAGTCAGGTGGGCTTTGGAGCAACTCCACCTAGTGGGTGGCATCCCTGCATATGCTGGATGGGCAGTTGGAAGTAGATGATCTTTAAAGTCCCTTCAACCCAAAACACTCTGTGGTTCTATGATGTGCAAACTAAGACCTCCACAAAGGGCTCAGCAGGTGCCATGTCATCACCCACAGCACACTAAGCTGCTCTTCATCCTTTTATTCTCAGTCATGGGTAGTCACGATGTCCCACTTGGCTGGAGGTGGCACTGTGACACCCATGCTCATAAGGGCTGTGGGGAGGATGTAGGGAACTGCGGGCCTGTCAGCCTGACCTCAGGGCCCAGCAAGGTTCTGGAGCAGATCATCGTGAGTGGGATCACAAAGTCCAGAGAGGAGAACTAAGGGACCAAGCCCAGCCAGTGTGAGTTTAGGAAAGGCAGGTCCTGCCTGAGCAACGTGATGTCCTTTGAGGAGAAAGTGACCCTCCTCAAGGCTGATGGAAAAGCAGGGCATGGAGTCTGTCTGGACTTGAGCAAAGCCTTAGACTCCATCTCTCACAGCACAGTCCTGCAAAAGCCGTCAGCCCAGGGCTTGGGCAGGGGCACTCTTAGCTGGCTTAAGAACTGTCAGGATGGCTGTGTCCAGAGAGTGGCTGGGAATGGAGCTGCAATGAGTTGGCATTCAGTCACTAGCAGTGTTTCCTGTGCTCTGTCCTGTTCAGAGTCCCAACAAGGCCCTGCAGGCTGGGAGCAGAATGGCTGGAAAGGTGCCCAGCAGGAAAATCCCTGTGGTTGCTGGCTGACATCGGCCAAATATAAGTCAGCATGTGTCCAGATGGACAAGGGGTGGCCATGCCCACCAGGCCTTTGTGACTGCAGCTGCATTGCACCCAGAGGCCATTGTGACACGGGTCCATGCCGTGACTCAGAGGGCTCTTGTAGGGCCAAACCCCTCGTGTTGTCACTCTCAGGAGAGCAGCTCTCTGAGGAGGAAGCAGTTCTCTCATGAGGCAGCAGCTCCTCAGGAGGAAGCAGCTCTCCCGGGTGCCCTTGGCCAGTGTTCCTCAGAGCACCGCCAAGATGTCCAAGAGACATGAGGAAAATGCCCACAGCCAGTCCCGTGAGGGGCAGCCGCTGCTGTTCAAGCGGCGACAGGTGAGGGATGGGAACGGAGGGAGAGGCTGCAGTGGGACCTGGGGGAGGGCTGGGGGCAGAGACTGCCAGCCAGGCCTGGCTCCAGCCCTTGCTCTGGGGAGGAGCTGGTGCCAGGATGACCTGGGTGAAGGAATGCCCCAGAAACAGGGAGCGCAGCTGGGAACCCAGCTCGGCCTGGCAGATGTGGACAACATTGCCCTTGGGACCAACATGAGGGCAGACAGTATGTGCACACAGCCACCTCCATCTCTCGCCTCCCTCTGCTTCCCACAGGTGCCCCAGCAGCTGCCACAGGCAGCAGAAGAGGTCACATGGGTGACCATCACGCCCCTCCAATGGGACAGACCGGTCCCCAGAAAGGACACTTCATGGAGACCCACAGGACATGAAACAAAGGAGGAGAGCCTGGAGGGAGGGCACTCACTGCCCCTCGGTGGCACAGTCACACGGCCAACAAGACTGTCCGTGTCAGATTTGCCGCCTCTCCATGGCCCTCCACTGACAGTGACACCTCCGTGGCAGCGCAGCCCTCAGCTGCCAAGAGCAGCCTCGGCACGGATCAAGCTGCCCCCTCTGCCAGCAACCCCAGCAGCCTCTGGGTCTTATCCCAGAGGCAGAGCATGGTCCGCAGGCCACGTAGGCAGCAGCCACCAAGACCTAGTGCCACCGTCTCCATGGGGCACTATGGGTGCTTATGGGGCCAGGGAAACTCCTTCCCCGGACGGCTCAGCTGAAAGGCTCTGGCGAGGGTCAGCAGCAAGGCCGGGTCAGCGCCTGCCACCCCTGAGACGTGCGGGTGGCTTGCCGCTCCGCACAGGAACCCAGCCTGCCTGGAACCACCTGGAGCTCATCAAGGTGGACGAGCTCACTGAGGTGCAGGAAGAGCACGGTGGCAAAAGCTACAGAGACTCATTTAGAGGCCTTGCCCCGTGCCTGCTTGAAGAAAGGTCCACCAAGTCCACCGGCACTCAGGAGCCGTCAAGTCTCTGCCAAGAGGCAGATGCAGAGGCCCAGGTGATGAACAGAGCTCCCAGTTTGAACAAAGACTCCACCACAGACACTGGAAACTCCTCTGAGCTCCTGTCTCCTGCCCGGTTGCCAGAGCAGCAGTCTGTGTCTGACATGTCACAGGGCTGGGAGACTTCTCCAAAAGAGCCAGAGGACAAGTGGGAGGAAGAACAACTCCCAGAAACAGAGGCTCCAGGAGACAGGGACAGCGACCCACAGGGTACCTCGCTTCCCCCTCTCAAGGAGGAAGAGTCAGAGGCAGGAACTTCGGACCTGGACGAAGATCCCTGGGATGAGGGGCACAATGAGTCTTTCCCCATGTCAGAGCCTGGGGAAACTTCATGCTTCTCACCTTCTCCCCCATCTGGAAGCTCCTGTGAGGAGAGGGGAACTCATCAGCTGCCTGAGCAAACCACACATGATGGCAAGCTGCCATGCACGGGGCCTGAAGATGCTTTGAAGCATTTCCTGAATATCGAGGAAGAGGAGCTGGACAAGTTGGAGGACTGGACGAAGATCCCTGGGATGAGGGGCACAATGAGTCTTTCCCCATGTCAGAGCCTGGGGAAACTTCATGCTTCTCACCTTCTCCCCCATCTGGAAGCTCCTGTGAGGAGAGGGGAACTCATCAGCTGCCTGAGCAAACCACACATGATGGCAAGCTGCCATGCACGGGGCCTGAAGATGCTTTGAAGCATTTCCTGAATATCGAGGAAGAGGAGCTGGACAAGTTGGAGGACGGCATCCTCACTTCCCTGGAAGCAGAAAGCCCCTCGGTGCAGCACAGCCTTTGCAGCTGGACCAAAGACTGTACAGGGGAGACCGAAAACTACGCACAGCTCGTGCCTCCAGACCTGTTTGAAGAGCTGTGGTCTCTCTTTAACAACCAGGATGTGCTGTCCAGGGACACTCAGCTAGACCAGCTACAGGCAAAGTGGGAGGAAGAAGAGCTCCCTGACAGAGACACTGCAGGAGAGTCACCCCCTCTTTTCCCCTTCTTTTTGCCTCACCCTTCTCTTTCCTATCCCTCTCTATCTCTCTACCCCACATTCACTGTTAAATAAAATCCCCATTGTTAACTTTGGTACACGGTCTCCTTGGCACCTTAATTGGCACATCGGTATCTCTCACTACTTGCATCTTAACAGGGTCACACAGCACTCGAGGTGCCTCACTCAGGGACTCACCGGTGCCCTGCCCAGTGGCACAATCACCACCCTGGACTTGGTGGCCACACTGGTGCTGACACAGAAGGCCAGGACCCCACTGAGCTACTTGCCCAGCTTGGAAAGCCCCAGCTCATGGTCAGCCTCTTTCAGCCAGCATCTCCACGGCCTTTCCCACTGGGCAGCCTTCCAGCCACTGCCTCAGCCTGAGGTACTGCAGGGCCTTGCTGGGACACAAGGGCAGCACCATGGCCTGGCTCTTCTTGAATCTCATTCCACTGGCCTCACACCATCCATCCAGCCGGTCTACATCCCCCCAGCAGAGCCTTCCAACTCTCCTTCCTACTCCACCCACCTTGTTGTCATCACAAATTTACAACTTTGGGTACCCTCAATGTCCTTGTGCGCATCAGCAGGACAGACACTGAACAGGACAGGGCACAGGGGACACCACTGGTGACCAGATGCCAACTCATTGCGGCTCCATTCTCCTCCACTCTCTGGACACAGCCATCCTGACAGTTCGTAAGCCAGCCAAGAGTGCCTCTGCCCAAGCCCTGGGCTGACAGTTTTTCCACAAGTGTGCTGTGGGGACAGAGTCAAAGGCATTCTCAGTTTCCAGTCTTCTGGCAAACCATGGGTCAATGGTTTAAGCAGGGAGCCTGGTCTGAGGGCACCAGTTGCAGCACTGTTCCCATCACCATCCTTAAGAAAATCTCCTTCCTATGTACTCATAGGACAAGCTGTAGAAGTCCTATGAGTACATAGGAAGGAGGAAGCATCTCTCCCCTACCAGATCACAGTGGAAATCCTATGTTCTTTTTCATCATGGCATGTTTCCTTGCAGAGGGTACGTGTGCCCCAAAGGTTCTAATGCTGTCTATCTGGACTTTCTGAAAACACTCATATTCGATGTATCCCCTGCCAACTGCCCTTATCTCAGGAAACAGAAGCCAGTTTATGCATATGATACCTATTCTTCCAAACCAGTACAAGTTTTTTTCCGATTTCAGGCTGTTGAAGGGAGACAGGGCATGTGGCTGCCTGGCCATGGCCACCTACCCCGCTCCCAAGGCACAGTATCTTCCATCTTTTCTCTTAATTCTTTTGTACTGCTGCTGTTGTACAGCTGTAATAGCCATAAAAACTCAAATAATGTGAACTACAACTCTGGATGATGGAACTACAAAAATTTTGAAAGCATTTTTGGTAGGTGGATGAATTTTTAGATTGTGGTTTTCCAAGTAAATAATAATAAAAAACAGGTTTTAACGTTGCCAGGCTCTTGCCTTTGCAAAAACTCAAAAGAAAATTGTAGCTACCCTTAAACAATAAACCATTTTCAAGCAGAAAGATCAAGTACTTTCTTTTATAAATCAGAAAGTGAGATGTTCCACTTGAAATACATTTTTCATTTATTTTGGCTAAAATAGTTCTTTGCATTTCTGTCAATTTTGAAAATATTTCTGATCAACCTAAAGACTGCATTCTTTTGTGTCAACTGCTTGCAAAAGTGTTGATTTTCCCTCACACTTACTCTTTTAACATACAAGGATGCAGTTTGTGTTCTCTGTGTTTAAGAAAACCTAGTGAGCTCTTCTGAGTCAGAAGTTATTCTTCATTAAAAACTGAAAACTTATTAAATAGCTAAGTGACATTTCAATTTTAATCAATAGCATTGCTGATAAATACAGAGTTGGTCCATTTACTGCCTCCTTCCTGACACAAATTTTGCATGAGAAAAAGATGTGTCACTGGTGACAAAAGAAATAATTTTATCATTAAGTACTAAGCACTTTTGATGGCTCTTAGTGTATATCCCACTAAGTAAACATAATTGCGGAGCATACTTTAAAGGCTTACAAATTATCTTTTCAAGTTTTAACCCTATTAGTTAAATTAAGTTTCCATAATCATCACTTGATTTCACACACAAAGAAATGCTTTGTTTAAAATTTAGTCAGTTTTTACATCAGAGATTATTCTCCGTTTATTCTCCTCTGAGATGATCTCCAATTCATCCTCAGGATGGGCACAGTGGCTTCACTACTGTTGGTAGGTTTTCTCATTCTGGAACACAAACCACCCTCAGGCATTCTCAGTAGTGAGATTGTTTCCCAACATGGGGGAGGAAAAAAAAAAAGAGGGAGAATATTAAACAAAAATAGTATTTCATGAATTCTGATGAGCTGACTACAGGACTTCCAGGAATAGAGCAGTGACCTTTCCACAGCTCAGCATTTTTTCTCTCGCAACAACCAGCAGCAGAGGAAGGTGTTAGTCCTCTGTATGAAGTGCTACACATTATTGCCCTTATAGAAAGAATATTTTTTTACACTCCAGTGCCACGGCCAACATCACAGGACCCAATTTAGGCATTTAGGGGTAAAAGGTGTCAGCAACTAACCACACTGACTGTGCGTCTGGATTATTTAGCTCCCCTGAAGTGCAAGTCAACACCCACACAAGCCTTTCCCAACTTCCATCCATGGAAGTGTCCAACACTAGGTTGGACACAGCTTGGAGCAACCTGATCTAGTGGAAGGTGTCCCCATCTTTGGCAGGGGGGTGGAACTAGATGGTCTTCAAGGCTTCTTCTAACCCAAACCACTCTATGATACCATGATTCGTGAGATGTGCTACAGCTCCCTTTTATGGGTATTAAGAGCTAAAAGCACTGCCTCCCTGTTAAAACATGCTCCTGCTCCAGTTTCTGTCATCCACAATGTACTCTGAGGCACTTTTCTGATCCCTGTGGCAGCAAGATTACTGTACAAAGCCTTTCTCTTGCAACCTTACCCTTGGTCCTGGAAATCCCGGCTGCCCCGGAGGACCAGGAGGTCCAACTTGCCCATTGTCTCCTGGAGGTCCATGGGGACCCATCAGTCCTGGATGGCCCTTATGACCAGGTATCCCAGGATCACCTGGAGGACCCTTTTCTCCTTGAAGGCCTTTTTCACCTTTGATGCCAGGTTCACCCTAAGTGAAGAGAAGGACATTATCAGCACAAAATAAGGAGCAAACTTCTGATTTCCAAACACAGAGAAACACTCACAGCTGAGCTGGCAAAGTTGCTGAGTGCAACATCTGGTGCACTACAAATGAACCACAAATTGTTCTGATGGAGAATGATTAAAGAGAGGGAAGACTGGAAGCACTGGCTTCACTTTTGAATGACCTCTGCCCCCAGGCCCTAACTCAAAACAGCTCTCTTTATTTCAGCATAATGAAATAACTGGTAATGTTCTCTAACTTACCCTCTCTCCTTTGGAGCCAATTGCACCCTGTTTCCCTGGTGTGCCCTGCAACAAAATAAAGGTAAACATAAAAGAACCATCCATAATAAGAGTAAATAATGGAACATATGCCTTTGTAATGATTCTTGCAACCCCACTAAAATTTATTTCCTTGACAACCTCACAGTTTCCTGAGAGCTGTCTTTTGCTCTCAGTTATCAACAATTAAAGGGAAAAAACAGCTAAAACCAAAAAACAACAAACAATTAAAAAAAATGCAAACAAACAAAAAACAACAAAAAAAAACCCAACCACATGACAAACAGGTTGAGGAGGGTGATTCTCTCCCTTCACTCCCCTTTGGCGAGACCCCACCTGGAGTGCTGTGTCCAGTTGTGGTGCCAGAAGCAAAGTTATGAACCTGTTAGAGCAAGCTCAAATGAGGCCACAAAGATGCCCAGAGAATTGGAGCACCTCTTCTATGGATTCAGGCTGAGAGAACTGGGGTTACTCAGCCTGAAGGAGAGAAGGTTCTGGGGGGACCTTTGAGTCCCTTCCAGTACTAAAAGGAGATATATAATAAAAATGGGGACAAAGTATTTTGTCAGGGACTGTAGTGATAGACAAGAGGTAAATGGCATCACAATCAGAGAGGGTGACATTTGGCAGAAATTTTTCACTGTGAGGGTGGTGAGGCACTGGAATAGGTTGTTCAGAGAAGTTGTGAATGTCCCATCTCTGGAAGAGTTCAAAATCAGGTTGAATGGGGCTCTGAGCAACCTGGTCTAGTGAAAGATGTCTCTGCCCCTGGCAGGGTGGGTAGAAATAGATGATATTCAAGATCCCTTCCAACCCAAGCCATTCTATGAAAAAAACCCAATTTGTTGCAACCCTGGTAACACCCTTGATGATTTTATTCCCTGTGACACCAGTCTTATATTGAAACAACTGTGAATTTAACTTACCTCTTTCCCAGGAGGACCCTTCTCTCCTGGTTCTCCCTAAGACACACAAAAAGTGGATTTAGCATCACACTGGAGGAGCTGGAAGAAAGGCTCCACCTAATAACCATAAGTGTTACTTTGTGTTAACAACACAAGTTTTCTTCTACACAGCAGCAGGTTTGCATGATTTATCCTTATCCTACTGCTATTGGTCATTCCTGGATAGATACATCCTGCTATTTGGAAAGCATTTTTTAGTGAATTTGATCCCATGTAAACATAACAGGAAGTAATTTCTAACAAACCAGCTGAGGGCAGATGTTTCACTGGAGGTATGTTCCTGCTCTCAATACATTTTGTTCCTTTTTCTTACCAACAATTCCCAAAGCTTCATACACTTTATATGGTCTTGTTTAACTTAAGGAGCACCAGCATTATACCCATAAGTGTCAGAACATGTAAGTGAAGTAAATTTTGTTGGTAGAAGTACCATCTTGTATTACACCAGCTGGAAAAACACATACAGCGGTTTAAGGAATTTTAAGCCTAAGTGCTCATCAGTCTTTCAGAACTGTATTAAATAACCTTAATTTGAATAAGTACCCTTGTAGAATTATTTATACATATCTATTTATTTTTTTTTAATTCATAATGTGATAATTAGACAATATAGTTTCCATTTTAGTGTTTCAATGAAAAAAAAAATCACTGCAGTCCTGCACTGCAGGGAAAGCAAAATGAACGTTAAACTAGTTGTTGCTGAAATTCTGGCCACTTTCCTGTATCATGTACAGAAAAAAATAATCTTTCTAAGTCTGTTTGCAGCCAACACACATGATCATATCTATAACATGGTATTTTCCCCTGGAAGCATAACATCTTCAGCTGTGTTAGCATCCATACATGTATCCATGAGGAATGGAACTAATCAAAGATGTGTGATCCAAATTAGGCTGCATTAAACTCACTTGAGTTTTCCTTAGGTTCACTTCAGTTTTAAATGACCACTATGTTTGCTGCTTAAAATTAATTGTCCAGAGAAGTATTTATTTCTTCTCTTTGCATCCAAAAACTCCCTTTCAAATGATAAAATTAGATATTAAAAAATACAGAAGGAAAAAAGAACCATCCTGTGGAAGATTCAGCTCAGCTACAGACACTCAAAAATCTTTTAAATTACCATTTTTGTCACAAAAAATCTAGAAATAAATTAAAAAATTACCTAGCATTCACTTTTTCCATTCTTCCAGTGGAATTTAACATCTTTTACTCACCTTGCAAAGATATTGCATTCTGAGGTTGTGATAATGTCATGGGTAGAGGTTTATTATTTATTATTTTAGATCACTTTGGGAGATCTATGATTGCTTTAATTGCAATGTACCTCTGTTGCTGGCAACAAAGGAATTTCCCTCAGATTAGCAAATATCAGAAATACCCGTATTATTATCAGCACTCACAATTTCCCTATTCAGTCCATCTAAGGTTCATGCAGAGGTGTAGTCTGAGAATTTAAATACCCCATACCTGTATTAAGAAGACTATTGAAGCAGTCTGATTAATGCACACATTATCAGGGCTGAGTGGCAGGTACCAGCTCCATACATGAGATTATGGTTGCTCATCCATATGAAAAATGCTATTTTTGCAGTCCAGTTTCCTTTAGAAGTAAAATTACATGGCTTCTGGATTTGTTAGATATCCTGCTTATGCTTCTTTTTTTAAACTAACTGAAGATGACCTTGTCCCACCTTCCTGTCTAACCTTCAAAAGCAGGTAAAGAGAGGATGTAATCCATCCCCAGACATACTTACAGGTGGTCCTCGGGGTCCTATAAAGCCAGGGAGTCCTGGGCTGCCTGTTTCTCCTTTATTTCCTTTGGGACCCTTAGGACAGAAATGAGACAGACACTAGCAGACCTTTCCCCAACACCTCCTTCCCAGAGCATTCATTTATGGCTACACTGGAACTGGGAAATTTCATTTTAGCAGCAGGACTCCCAAAACTGACAAGGAAGAACAAAGCTTTTCAGAAAAGCAGGTTGCAGGCATTGTGGTTACCTCATTAATAAGCTATGCAGGGTCCCTGGGAGAAGATGAAAAGGAACAATTATGGCAGGGGCAGGAGGTGTGTTCCATGGGTGTTGTGGTGTCACATGGTTTATAAGGGGGTGTTGAGAGCAGAAATGCTGCGATGGGTGATGACAGGAAAACAGTGCAGGTGGTCATACTGCTCAAATCCAAGATCATAACCAACAGACAGCTACAGGGCTTCTCCTTTGCCTTTATTTCTAGGTTCAATTTATGTCTCTTTCACTTATTTCTTGTGATATTCTGTCAAACTGTCCCTTTTTCCTTGCAGATCAGGGCAGTTGAAATGACAGTTCATGATACAGAACTTTCTCGTGCACACTTCTGATGTGGTTTTAACTCTTAGTTTAACCTTTACTTTCAGAACTTTGTCCCCTACTTTTCCAGTTCAGAACATAACCCTTTTTCTTAGAGTAAAACTCATGTCAAGTGAGCACCAATGAGCCTATCAGGCACAAAGCACATGGATTTGGGGTGTGTAACTTGCCGTAAAGACTTCAGGGGCTGGATTGCGTTGCTGTGTGTGGGCTTAAGCATGAGCAAGTGTGAACTGTGATGGGCACTGTCAAACAGCAAATGCAAAAGGAGAAGGCTCCTGGCAGGTTTTACCTTGTGATTAAAAGCCAGCAGTGGTGAAGGTGGAAAAAAAAATCCTTATTGCCACAACAACCTTTCTCACCTTGCTTTTTTTCAGAATAGAAATATAAAATATTGGCTTGTCACACCACACTGCGAAGGAAATTAATGCATTTCAAAATAAATGGATTTATGTACAGCACAAGGAGACACTTCCCATAATAACCTTTATGAAAAAGAGAGGATTCATTTTAATAACAGAGAATGATAATGATGAGATGACTGTCTGTTCTGCTGACCAACACTGTCTCATCATTTCCCCTTCCTCATCCATCTGACTTTATCCTTTTTCAATCTCCTATGTTATTTTTGGACTCTAAATCCTCCGAAGCAAAGGCTGCTGTGGTGCTGTTTGTGCAGGAAGCTGCCTGTGAGTCCCTGGGTTACATCATATAGGTACTGTGATAACACTATGATGATTAAAATAATAATCTCCACTTGGCATGCACAAGGCATCCCGAAGCCACAGTGACCTGATAAAGACCCAGAAGGTAAAAAAGCAGTGATAGGAATTGGGAACAGAGACGGTGTAAAGAAATTAAGAAAATAAGTCTGGAAAGGCAAGAGCAAGGACCCACAGGGCAAGAAGCAACGGCAACAGTCCCAGGAAGGTAAGAAGAGCTTACGTCAAGGACAAAAAGCCTGTGGCACTTGTTTTTTGACACAGAAGGGCTCTCAGACTGCAGCACCCTGTCCCACCTTCCCACACAGAAAGGTGGTGTCCAGTTCTGGCCCCTCAGTTTGGGAAGGATGTCGAGATGCTTGAGCACATCCAGAGAAGGGCAACAAGGCTGGTGAGGGGAATGGAACACAAATCCTGTGAGGAACAACTGAGGGAGATAGGGGTGTTCAGCCTGGAGAAAAGGAGACTCAGAGGTGACCTTATCTCTCTCTACAACTCCCTGAAAGGTGATTGTAACCAGGTGGGGATTGGTCTCTTTTTCCAGGCAGTAACTGAGAGAACCAGAGGACACAGTCTCAAGCTGCATCAAGGGAAATATGGGTTGGATATTAGGAAAAAGGTTTTTACAAAAAGAGTGATCAAGTATTGGAATTGTCTGCCCGGGGAGGGGTTGGAGTCACCATCCCTGAATGTTAAAAAAACAGACTGGATGTGGCACTTGGTGCCATGGTTTAATTGAGGTTTAATTGGAGTCAATGATCTTGTAGGTCTCTTCCAACCTGATGATTCTGTGATTCTGTGGTATTTGCTTCTCTGAGACATCCCTGCAGATGCTTGATCAGGGCACAAATCTGTGGTGAGGCTGGGGTGGTTTTATGACTTTGCAAGGGTCACAAAGACTCACAAAGAGTGAAGTCCTGCTGCAGCTTTTCACATTTCTCCTGCTCTGCCTTTGTTTTCCTGTTAATCCCACAGTCCAGCAAGCTGTACTGTCTCCATGGGCAAAGAGAAGGAAGAGCTCTGCATTGTGATAGATGCTACTGGGCACAAAGGAATATTTGCAAGGATTTGCTGAAATCTGGACAATTTTCAGCATCAGAACAGAGGAAAAAGCACCAAAAAAAAAACCAACTAAAGCACCAGCTCCTCACTGTCCTTCTTACAGCTCTTCATTTCCAAGCTGTTCTTCCTCACAGGATGGCCTCAGGGGAGTTTCATTATGCTTCCTGATCCTGGTTTACTGCCCATTGTCTGCTCTTCCCTCAAGTGCCTGTGAGGATTTTTCTGCTGCCACTATTCCTCAATGGCAGCCTGCCAACTCCCCGAGGCCCTCTCCTTCCTTGTGACAACTCTCTGCTGGCTGCATGCTCTCTGCTTGGCAAAATTAAATCTACTGGTGAAGATGAGGCACGCCAATCTTTTTCCCATGCCAGGCAATCAATCATTTCCATTTGCTGTGAACACTTAACTTTCACTCGGAAAAGTGATGACCCAGCTAGCATCTCAATTCCTGGAACGTAGCCAAACACCCTTCAAAATTGTGGCCAGCTACTGATTTTCAGATCACCCCTCTTCAGACATGAAAACCTCAAGGATGGTAACCAGCTACACTAATCCACTCCACCTATACTTCATCAGTCACCTCTCCTGGCTGCACCAGTCTCCCTTTGTGGTACTTACTGGGATACCAGCTGGGCCAGGTTCTCCTGCAGATCCAGGCACTCCATTTTTGCCCTGTGTCAAAAGAAAAAGGTTAGTAATGCATGCTAAAACTAGAAATATTCAGCTACGCCTACACCAGCAGGGATTTCTTTAGCATTGTTCAGTCTCCTCTCCTGACACACTGTGAAGTATCTTATTTCCAGCTGACCTCACAGCTTCTCTGTCCCTGATTGCATGGTTGATCTCAGGAAAAAAAATCAATATGCAGACCCAAATCTGCAGGTCTGAGGAGGACCAGCACTTCTCCTTCCCTGCATCCTTGTCCATATCATATGCAGCATCCTTCTGGATTGATGGAGCCACCTCCTTTGGCTGCTCCAGGTCACCACTGCTCAGACAAGACTCTCAAATCATCTCAGGCTTCCCCTTTTTTGGGGAATGGAGAGAAACACTTGTTCTAAGACTTGATACTTACCTGATACCAGACAATTCAGAATTCAGCCAAATCATCCTTTGAAAGGACCTGTTCCTTAAGAAAGCAGCTGAGCTAATCATCCATAAAGTTTGATGAGATGAAGTTTTGCACTTCTCTCAACTCAACATGCAGAGTCTTTCCCTTCATTAGAGTTCACCATAAAGACAAACCCTTGTACTGTCAATATTCAAAATCATGTCTCACACTCCTTTTTAGATAAAATAACAAAGAAAAGGAAGAACAAGAGAAACTGATACTTTTCCCTCCAACATACAAGCAACTCTTCTGTAAAGAAGAATGTGGCCTGGAGTTATGATAATTTTTATATCTTCAAATATTTTTACTCACTGCTAGTGTTGTGCAGGGGCATGACACAAGAGTGAGTGATGCCAGCAGTACAGGAGTAATGAGATAAATTATGAGATAGACACAGGAGGTCTCCTTATGTTCTTGCAGTCTAATCTAAACCCCAACCCCTCCAGCTTGGAGGGCCCTGCTGCTCCACCTCCTGGCACTGCTGAGTCAGCATTTCCCCCCCACACGCCCCGATCATTCTGTGGAATCTGTTTCACTACCAGGTCTTCCAAGAAGGAAAGGAACTCACACATTGCAACACACTAAAGATGTGCCTTGGTTCTGCAACAGAGATATAGATACAGATTTGATATGGATTAATTTCTAAGAGAATTTTAAACCCTGTGAAATTAATAAAAGTAATCTCTGAGCCAACTCAAATGGGACTTTTTGAAATGTCAACTAGATTTCTATTTCTCCACTGAAGCTGTAATAAAATAGTACAGGTGAATAGTATCACAACTGGACCCCACAAAACTCAGCCTGGGCACTCAAGTGAGTGTCTATCTTTGAAAAGTGAGACCATGTGAGAAGTGAGTAGGATCCCAGACACTGGACTGAAATATGAGTATTTCTGACTCTGCATCCTGACAGAATCCATGGAACTATTCTTCCCACTGAGTCAGCAAACATCAGTCACTTGCACTCTTATAAGTCTTCATTAGTTTCTAGCAATATTATTCTTGTTTGTTTTTTTGAAAGGCAAAGTGTTTTAATAAAACATTGTCTGAATCTTCCTAAACTCTCTTCTTTCAAGCCAGAGTTCTGGATTGCAGAACATTCCTATCACACACAACACCCCATCCCTGGAAGTTTTCAAGGCCAGGATGGATGGGGCTCTGAGCAAGCTGGTCTAATGGGTGGCATCCCTTTCCAGGGCAAGGGGTGAGAACTACATTATCTTTAATGTTCCTTCCAATCCAAACCATTCTGTGAACTATTATGGACCTCTAGAAATGGCTTGTCAGGAGAGAGAACTCACCGGCTGCCCTCGGAGTCCTCGAGGGCCCTGTGGTCCTATGGGACCAGGATCACCCTGAAAGGAAAAAAAAAGTATTATGATGACTGAGAAAGAGCTGACATGGAGGCAAGTGAACAAACATTTTAAAAAGTTCCTGCTAAATTACACTGTTCACATATTAGGCAAAACAGGATTAAAGGAATCTCACTGCCCCCTTTCAGTTATTTATGAGGAAGATCAACCCTCTGAATTTTAAGCACCTACTACTAAATGCAACCTGATTACAGGCAGAAACCACTTCTATCAGGTTATTCTCAGATTATTTTAAAGCTATGTCACCATGATGTTTTTACGAAAATCCTTTGCTAGGATTCTTCTCCTATTCTAGCTGAGAAGCCTCAGAAAAGAAATGTAAACAATAACTATCTGATGGCTGTGGAATTTGGTCTGGACATTGTTTACCAACAGGTGCATCTTTGATTGGTCCATGTGAGTTGTTTCTACTTAATAACCAATCAAAGATGCAGCTGTGTCAAACTCTCTGAGAGTCACGAGCTTTTGTCATCGTTCCATTCTATTCCATTCTATTCCTTTCTAGCTTTCCGATGGATCCTTTCTCTCTATTCTTTTTAGTATATTTTTAGTATAGAATTTTAATATAATATAATATCATAATATAATAAATCAGCCTTCTGAAACATGGAGACAAGATTCTCATCTCTTCCCTTCATCCTGGGACCCTCACACACAACTATAAAGCTGTATTTCTTAGGGACAGAGAGTCTCTGAAATTTCTCAAGAATTGACAAACCTATTCTCTCTCCAGAGAGGCTTCAGAGCTGCCTCCATCTCCTCCGAGGGGTTCCTTTTGGTCTGCCCTACATTTTGCTTTGTAGGGTACCATTTACAGCACACCAGTTTCCAGTGACACAAAGGGGTGCAAATGAGAAGCCGCTTCTCCAGGTGCCATGGCAGCGGCACACCAGCTGCTCGGAACATTGCTCAGCAGCTGCTGCAGGATCCCACATCAGCTGTGCCCTCCCAGGACTCTGTTATATGACTGCACTTGACACTAGTCATGCCAGAGGAACTGTTTGTACCACCTTTCTTTCCTCTGAGCAGCAGCAACTTATTCCATAGGTATTTCACAGACTTCAGTGGAGTGACACAGTCAGTCAGGTGCAGCTGTGGCAGAACAAGTGTGACAGAGCCTGGCCTGGTGGGACCCGCAGAGAGGAGCACTGCTTGGAGATGGGTGCCAGAAGACAGGTCCATGGCTACCAAGCACAGCCTGGCTTTCACACAATGCTGCTTTCTCTGCTTATGCAAAGATATATCTGACATTTTAGTGCCAGCAGCAGAGCAGCAACAAAGGCCCTCTAATTCTTTGTTTTCCCTAATGATCTTTGCACAAATCATTCCCTGCAGTAATTCACCCTTTATTGGAGTTTCTGCAGCTGTTTCAGGTCAGGGTCACTGTGAATTAAAATTTTCATTTGTCAGGGAGAAGGAGATTAATTTCTGCTCAAAATGGTGCACTTACATCCTTCCCTGGTGGCCCCTCACGACCAGCAGGACCCGTCACACCTGGCTCCCCCTGCAATTCAGCAAAAAGGGAAGAGATCAGCTCAAGGTCAAATTTAGACCAGTATCACCACTATAAGTGGTATGGGGTTTCTGCAATGTGTGACTGAGCTCAGTGAAAAAATTTTTAAATCCAGCAAGAGGCTCGTTCATCTTACATGACATGCAGCTTATAAAAATAACTCAGAAACATCTCCTGTAAGTGATGCACAAGGCAGTGCTCTGCTTTCCACCAAATTGTTTGCTACTGCTACTGCAGGCACTGAAAACCACCAATACATCCATGATGCAGAAGCTATCATAATGAGGAAGAGATGAGGATCTCCAGCACTGGATTTTTCACATGAGCTTCTGAAAGCAGAGAATTTTATTTCCCTGTAAAAAAGGCAGGATTAGGTGGAAGAACATTCAGTTTTGTATTCCCCCTTTTACACCAAGAAGCTCCAAACAGAGTGGAGGACAACTTTTCATGCAGGACTTGAGGTTTGAGTTTTATGACCCACAAGAAACTAAATCAAAGGGACATTTCTATTCACTTTTCTGGAAGTTTTGTACTTGAACTTATTTTGCACTTCGTCAGCACTTATGGAGGAGAGCTAGCACTTATCCAACAAGTGCAGTAGGGGTCCTCACTTTGCCAGCATTTTTACCAGAAGGATGTGGTATGGAGGCATCCTTGAGACGTATTCACAATGGAGTATCTCAAAGGGAGCATCAGAGGATTCAGCTCCACCAGCTGCCTTACCTTCCCCAGAATCAGAAGTTCAGCAGAGGAAATGAAGACAGCTGCTGTCATTTCTGTGCCATAGATATGGCCCATAGTTGAAAACACCCACATGAAACACTGTCATCATTTTTACCTACTACCTCAGAAAAGGCAATTTAAATTCCCTCAATCTTTCTCCAAAGGATTGTGCATGAGGTACCTGTTACTTACCCGGGGACCTGGGGGACCTGTATCTCCTCTCTGTCCTTTGAAACCCTACACAAGGGAATGAAATCAATAATTATCCATCACCTCGATGCAGGAAACACTGAGAAAACTCTAGCTTGAGTGTTCATTTAATAACCTTTCCAGTTTTGCCAAAAGTTACTAGGGACTGATCAGCATGGAGCAGCTGCATCCCAGGGAGTAATTAGGCAGGGCCACATCACAGGAAAAGTTTTCCATAGCTCCTAAAGCTGTAAAACCAAGGCTGTGCTCTGTGTATCCCTGGTGTGTCCAGCCAATACATTATTTAACCCTAAACTTTACTGTCCCCACTCTTTCAGAGGACCTTTAACAGAACACAAGGGCTACAGCTGTGACTTCTGGTGGAGTGGTGTCATGAGGTTACATGCTTTAATTTCTAGATAAGGGATTTACTCTCCTCCACGTGAGAAGGATTCAGAAATGTCTGTGTTCTGTTGTTGTTGCTTATTTACATGTTTTATTTAGTCACAATGCCAGGACTGGTTATATGTTTGCATCAGTAAAGAACCTAATTTGTCCAAGAAATGCTCCCTGACTACAGTACAGGGGGTTGAGTGGGTGGAACCCTTGAGAGCAGCACCCACCGGCAATCCTCTGGCACCCTCCCGGCCTGGGAGCCCTTGTTCTCCAGGTTTTCCCTGTGGGAAACAATAATGTTCATGTTAGCAAGAGCCCCAGGTCCATCTCACTGCTGCTGGAAACTTCCCACTCCTCTCCCTTACACATAACATCACTGAGAACTGTGAGTGCCCAGGGTTTGTCCAGCAGAGTCTGAGTTTGCAGGGAGAACAGCAGGGACAGACATTCCCAAACACACCTCGACCTGCACTGTCACCTGCACTCTGAGGTCCTGAGGCATTTTACAGCTCTGGACTCGTGCACGTTTGCAGTGTCAGAGCTGCACCAAAACCTAATCAGCACATGCAAAATCTGCATCTGCACATAGAAATGGGGTGGTTTGGTGCAAACACAAACTATCTGCAGCTTCTGTGACATGCACTCCTCTACTTAACAGTTGTCCTAATGCCTGGGAACTTGGCTGTTCCCAGAAACACTAAGTCCCATTTGACAGTCACAGGAAGAGGCTGGCAATGCCTGATACTTGAAGCACATTCTTCATGTAACACACACAGTTGCAAGAAATAACATTCACTGCCAAATTTACTAACATTGCTTTTTAGCTGACAACTTCATGGCTCAGCTTTTTTTCCCCTCAGCAAATGCAAGTAAAGACAAAGTAGAGAAAATCAAATATAAACCCTCTAATTCTGGGCAACAGAACTGTCTCAGAGCAATCCAGAAAAAAGCTTCTTTAAAGACTCCTCCTCTAAACTTTTTATGCCCCATAAACTTCTATCAAAAGGATGGATCACTAGGATTAATGTTACAAGACAACCTTCTTTCTCTGCAGTGTTTAAGACAGCTGTAAAAGTGGAGTCACTAAGTTTTAGTGTATTTATGGTAGTTGTAAAAGTAAAAGAACGCAGTTTCTTTTCAAGATTGCTCATGTGTCATGCCTATAAATCACTCAAGACAATACAGTTCTTCTGGTGTTAAAAACAGATGTGCAAACAGGCTCCTTGTTCCCCCTAAGGAGTCCATAGATAGGCAGCTTCAAAAACAACAACTGGATGCAGCTTCTTATTGACTGAGCAAAACAGTTTTAAATTACATTACCGGCTCCCCCAGAGATCCTGGTTTGCCATCTTTGCCATCATTCCCAGCAATGCCCTGTTAAATGAAATGTAAAACAGGGTAAAATTGACAAGGAGGATTGGTGGGGGTTTTGTCAGTGTGAAAAGTCTGCTCATCATGACATGCTTATGTTTGCCTAAATCTCCAAAACCCTCCCTCCTTCTATAGCTCAGCCATAAACTTCTCCCTGCTCCACCGTGTAATGGCATAACCTCTTTCCCTTTCCAACATGGCAATATTTCCCTTTCCAGCAAGGTGAGCATGCCAACAATCTTAAATCAGGATTCTAAAATCAGCTGTTACAAATCTTTATAATGCCAACATCTTCAGGTAGGCTACTTTATAGTAGAATTATGTCTGGCTCTATCCTCATGACACCTTAAAAAAATCCCAAAATGTTGTACATTTTCCAGAAGAGAGGAGTCTATGCCCAAGGTGCACTTGAATCTGAGTCAGTGCAAAGGGATCATTTTGACCAGATTCAGATAAAGTCAGTGTCCCAGTCTTTGAATCCCCATGCCCTTACACTGGAGTTATAACTTGATTTCTGTCTCTGTATAAGAGTATTTCTTCCAATGAGAAGACAGGCAATGAACAGTCCTGATTTACATTGTTATTAGCATTTTGCTTTAAAGTGATCAAATACAGATCCTGGAACAAAACAAATATTGTCCTGGAACAAGGACATTGCATCAATGTGACAGACACTGCTACAGACCACGCATGGCTCTCAAGGCACCTCAGAAGTGTCACCTCTTTGTTTCACATACCTATGTGTGCATGAATAATTTAATGTACTGAATTAGAAGGAGCTTAGTCACACTCACTGGAAGTCCAGGCAGCCCTGGTGGGCCCTGTGGACCTGGGGGACCATCTTTGCCCTGGAAAGAAAGAACAAACACTGAGGGTCAGGCAAGTTCCTCAGAGGCTTCTATCAGATGAAGATTTATCACATGTAGAGTCTGACAGGGGACAACTGTGAGAAGGTGGTCTTGTAGCCCATGTCACACAGTCTATGAGGTTTCCCTTCTAGTTTAGAATGGATGGTTCTCTCTAAACATACAAAAAACACTTTTATCATTGAGTTCTTAAAAACTGAGAAACCTCTGAAATCACTCATATTTTTTTTTTTCTGAAGGTTAATTATATTTAATATTTCATCCTTAACTTCCTGGATGAAAAAACCACTTTTATCATTGAGTTCTTAAAAATTGAGAAACCTCTGAAATCACTCAAAATTTTTTTTTCTGAAGGTTAATTATATTTAATATTTCATCCTTAACTTCCTGGATGAGGTGTCCTGCCAGGAAGCAGATGTGTATTTTATACCTTTTAAATGAATAGTTGCCAGAAGTGGCTTGCTGACCATCCCAAAAAATCCCCTCACCCCACAGAATTGGACAGTATCACTCCAGGTCTTTCACAGAGTCACAATCTTATCATCCATTTGAAATGGAATTTCAGCCAGCCTGTTCATCTTGTCTCTGGACTCTCTGAGAATGCTCACTGATTTCATAACAGCCATCAGAAGGATAATCACTGTTTACTTATTATGAAGTTCAGGTTGTGAAATGGCTCTGTAAAAGGCACCTTGTCCCTTAGGAAACCTTGCTCTAGAAATTAATCACTGAATTACACAGTTTTAAACTGTTCCAACTCAATAGGGAGTAATCTTTAGGGAAGGTTCATTTTTAACTTTTCAAACTGAAGTTAGTATCCATCAGATTACCCGCCTCTCCCAGGGTTTTTTGACACATTACCATAAAGTAGCATCTGAAAACCCTTAAAATGAAACAGCAATGCCAAAATTCTTCATGGGCTTCTCAAAAGTTATACCTGTACTGGTATTTTTTGTGGTGCCAGGAAATAGTGCCAGGCTCCAGCATCTCAGCAGTCTGTGCTGTGACATCCTTCAACAGGTTGCTAGTTATATTTTGATAATCCCCATAGAGAGTTCAGGTATTAGCCTTAGGTCATGAAGCATCTAGCAGATTTAGAAATCATGTTCTGGCAGCTAAGAGATGTAAATAGCAAAGACAGACAGACAAGAGGAACAAAAATCTCCATAGAGGTCCCATGGGCTGGATTATCCTCTGGCTAACTTGGAATGTCATTTGGTGAGTAAAAGAAGTGCTAGAACAGTAACCTGTGGTTATTCGTGGAGGTTCTACTTGCAGGCTGAATATTTTGGGGAGCTTTCAAAGGACACTACATGGATGCCAGCTCAGCTTTACTTCACAGACCTAAACCTAGGTGAAGCCAGTGGTCAAGCACAGAGCTTAGAGCCTACCGTGTCTCCTGGGTTTCCTGCTGGTCCTATTGGTCCTGGTGCCCCATCTGATCCCTAAACAAAATAAAGCAGAAACAACGTGATTAATGCATCTTATACATTTGTCAACACATTCCCTACCACAGCTGGCAACTCTGGAGCTTTCTTTAATCACTCAGCTTAACATTCATTCCATTTCTTCATTCATCACTGAAAAGTAGTGCCAGCCTCTGCACTCAATCAGCCTCCAAAGACAGAAATAGTCAGACATTTGAGTTTGGTCTTGGCTCTTCCTTCTGAAAACAGGGGACAAATAGGAAAAAGCCAATCATGACAAAAATAACTCTGTAGAACAGCAATTATGGGTGAACAGAAATTATGAAGCACACACTGTGGCAGGCAATCTCCTGGAGCCACGAGTCAATGCAGACAGAGGGAAAAGTCAGCAAAAGCTGAAGAACAAAATTTTATAGGGGACATCACATTTTGCTCTGTTTTGACAGGCTCAGTTTTTACTTTTCCTTTGGCTGTGAATCTGTTCAGGAGGTCTCATAGGACAATTTAAAGTGTTTTAATCCCACTGGTTCAGCTCTGTAGTTGCAGCAGTATTAGGTTAATAGAGACACAGCAAATGTGTCTGTTATTAATCTCTCCTAAAATAATGCTCATGGGAGCTCAAATCACCCACAAAGCAAGTTCATGTGCTGTCACAGCAGCAAAGCACCCAGCATCCTTTAGGCATTGATGCCATCTGAATATAGAATTTTAATCTAATCCCCCCTTTCTGGTATGTCCTGTCATTTAGTCAGTGCAATATGAATTCAGGCTGTGCTGATCCCCAGAACAGATGAAGGTGGCACACCCTCAGCACAGCAGAGCCAAACTGCACTGTAAGCAGCAATATGAGCTGTGATGACTCTGGGCAATGAAAGGTTTTTGGAGAGAAAAGTCCTTGACTCCAAAAAAAATCCCCCAACTTGAAGGGAGTAAAGCAGGAGAGCCAAGTGATCTCAGCCCTGATCCTGCACTATCACCCCTTTTTAAATACAAGGAAGCATAATTTTATTAATTATGCTTCCTTGGAGAAAGCAGAATCTAAGAATGAGGACTGTGATGGAAAGGGACATGTAAAAGGCCTTTCAATTAAAAAGTAACTCACACAACTAAAACACTCTTAGATCTGCTAGTTCTAGACTAACAACTTACCCCACATACAGGAAAGCACCTATACATGTACTAAATAGTCCCTATGGAAGAGTTTTCATCATCATCTTTGTGTTGTATAAAGAGAGCAACTGAAGCTTAGCAACAATTTACAGAATGAGTTGAAGCAATCAGTGGAAAGTGGCCAATGTATTAAATAGCAATTACCATGAGTGGGGAACTCTATCACACTCAGGGGATCATTAGAAACCCACAGGAAAATGCAAATTCAGTGTACAGACAGATGGGAACGGTCCTTTCCACCACATGGAGCTCACAACGGCCTTTATCAGCAAGAAACTACAGGAACATCTTTGTAACAGAAGAACTTACAGGTGGACCAGGGTTTCCAGGAGCCCCTGAGAAGCCAGGCATTCCAGGGTGGCCCTGCAGAATGAAATCAGAGACTTTCTTTATGCATTAGTCACCTATCTACTTTTATAGAAGTTAACTGGTGATTATTGTGAAGTAACACCAAAATGAGTCAATTCACAGAGAGCTGGTTAAAAGGGAATAAAGGCTTTCTAAAGTGAAATCTTGGTTTTCAAAGCATGCATTTCAAAAATAACGTAGTTAAATTTCAGGTGTACTTCTTCCCATGCATATTTTAGTCTATGCTAATAGCAGATGAGAGCAGATATTGTGGAATTGCACAAGACAGGAGGTCAGCTGGGAAACCAAGCCTGTTTAAAATGTCCTAAAAATGTCATTGAAGAGGTGCTGATTTGCACTTTAAATCAGTGACTCAGCCCTTGGCAAATTAACTATGAAAGTTTTCTCTAATTTAAACCATTCTCATCATTTCTGTGGCATCTCAGTCCCTCCTAATAGAGGTCCTCCGTACATTCATTATCTAAGACAAATAGACACACTGGCTTTTTCAACCTATAGACACCTGAACTCCTGGAAATCATCTAGCAAATATCCAAGGAAATGAGTAAGGGTTAGGTAATGTAGAAAATTTAATGCATTCAGTCCACAGGTGAGGAAACAGATGGTACTGGGAGGTTTTTATTGGAGATGAGGATGGAATCTGTGGAGGATTGCCTTGGTTCCACTCTTTGACAGAGCCCATTTGGGGTTTGTCAGTGATGAAGAGCTCCCATCTTCCTCCTCTGCCTCTGAGAAAGGTGCTCTTGTAAAGGCATCATAGGAGTTACTGATGAAGGACCAATCACAGTGACAGCACTGCTGGAAAGCACACTCTGTTTTTACCTGTTCACCTTTTTCTCCTACTTCCCCAGTCATGCCACGGTCTCCCTTAGCACCCTGGTAATAAAAAAGAGCCATTGAAAGTCAATGAGATTCAGTGTTGTGACAGCTTTTTGACCTCTCTCATAAAGCACTTGGACATTCAAGAATAAAACTCAAGAATCAGGACTGAGCCCTCCTTGCCCTCCTCTTAAATTCTTCTCTAGACTTTCACTACCAGTGCTGGAGCCAGAAATATATGTGGAAAATGGCCTCTGAGCAGACCCAGCATAGCTGGTTTCTAATGTTTTATTATCATAGGCATAAAGAGGAATTACACATCCTTAAAGACCAGGCAGGTTATTTAGGCACTTCACTAAATCATATCTTGATAAAGAATCATCTGGCCCAACGAAGGTGCCCACACCCTCCAGGGACAACAGCAATAAAATCAGCATTTCTAAGGTGCAGCCAGAAAATTCACACCCAGAAAGTGCTCTCCGTTTCTCTCTCTTTCTCTTTCTGTTCTAGAGACACAGACAGAGACAGCCAACTCAACTGTGCATGGCTGCATAACCAGTGCTTACAGTGAGACAAGACAGTGAAAATTACTGAGGTAAAGGTGAGCAAGGTGTGAACAATAATGAAAGGCTGGCCATGGAAATAATACACTGGTTTGCTACACGAGAGCTAGGAGACAAAGGGGAGAAAGAGGGTTGCTATTTATTAAAAAAAGAGATCTAATTCATATGGCCAGAAGGAATGAAGCTGTTCATGAGCAAAGATCTGCAGTTCTACTGCTCTTCTTTCAGAGCGAGACCTAACAGCTTGGATGATGCTGGTAAAGACAATATACCACAGAGTCAAAAGTGCAGAGCAATTTGGGTCTTCCACTGCAAGGATCCTCCTAAGATATGCAGAAAAGAGTCACAAAGAATGAGCTTGTGTTTGCTTCTTCCCAGGGGTCTTTCTTCTTTTTTTTTTTTTTAGAACTGTTTTTATTGAATTCAGGTTAGACTACTTATCAGTTACTTGATTTGACTTTCTGCACAGGTACAGTTTGAAATTTATCCTGTTATTTCACCTAACTATCCATTTTTGCTGCCTAAATCTCTGCTTTCTTATGAAATATAAGAAAGCAGCAGACATGGTATGTCTCAGATTGCTTGGCATTTCTGACATTTACTGGATTTATGGGTTACTAATTCTCTTGTAAATTTTATCCTGGAACATACTTTCATTTTGATCAACTCTATGTTTACTTTCAAGATTGTGCTGCTGTCCCCACCACACTTTTAATTGCAAGATATGAAATTAATTCATGAAACTCTATTAGCTTGTCCTGCACTCTAACAAGTGCAAATACAAAGATGTTAAAATAGCGGGAGCTATTTTAGACAGTAAGTCAGTAGTGAAAGGATGTCTGGAGGAAACTGGGGCCGATCATTAAATCACCTTCCCTCATTGATTTGTTTTGATTTATTTCACATTAGGCAGTTGTAAAGGTTTTAACTGTGGCCAGGCACTGGTATTGTGAACAGACTGCTGACAGCCCTCTTTATGAGAAATGCTTGAAATGTGACCTTATTGGAATACTTCAAACAATGGAAGTTTTATGTTCACCTATGTCCTAGACCATGAAGCACCAACATATAGCTAAAAGAATAATTTTTTCCTGTATCACGTTTCAGGAAATACTTGGAGTTTTTGGGTAACACTACCACAACAGATTGTGTGTTTGGAGCCCAGCAGCCCATTGCAGCCTTAATTTAAGCGGTTCCAGCACATAAGATTCAAAAAACGAGAGGAACAGGCACGGTGTCTACTGCTGAGGCTTTAATTTCTTTCTCACCTAATTTGAGTTGAAACTTACTCTCAAGTCATCAATGTAATGAAATTCAACACCAAGAATCAGGCCCTTTAGATGTGTCTGCCTGTCTGTGTGTGTGAACAAAGGGATGGTAGAAGACACTATTAAAGTGCAACAATCCCTCATGTCATGGGCAAGGACACCTTCCACTAAACCAAGCTGTTCAAAACCCCATCCAACTTAGCCTTTAATATTTCCAGAGATGAGGCATTCACAACTTCTTTGGGCAACCTGCTCCCAAAATAATTAGTGTGACTAATTAGTCACAAATAAGTTTTCATTAGATAACTGAAGAAAACCAACCAACCTTTGGGCCATCGAGCCCAGGTGGGCCTGGAGGACCTCTGGGACCAGCAATCCCCTGTAATGCACAACAGGCAGAAGTAAACACTAGTTTAGTTCATTGACTCCATGGGCCTCTAAAAAAGATTCAGCAGGTTGTTGATGAAAAAAAAAATTAGTCATCTAATAAGAAACCATTAACCATATTAATAGAAAAACAAGGTCCCAGCAGATCCAAGGCGTGGTCACTCCCTCAGCTCTCTTACCATTTTCCCATCCTGGCCATCTCTACCTGGTGGTCCTCGGAGACCTTTATCCCCTTTGAAACCTGGGATGCCTGGCAGTCCTGGTGGGCCAGGAGGGCACTCACTGCACACATCCTGGGAGAGAACATGGGAAAACACATCAGCAATAGGCTGCAGGCACTTAGCAGATCCTGTGGACACCCACTATGAATGCAGCACTGTATAATTCTTAAACCTTTGCTGTTTCACCTGAGGATTGGGGTGAATTTGCCTTAAAGAACCAATGAGGGCAGCATGAAGCAGAACGAGGGTCAGCAGCTGAGCTCACACCTGCTCCCATGGGAAGTTTCCTATCAGTTCTAAGTCCTAATTGGTCACCCAGGATCAGGAAACCAAGGAAAAGCTCTTCCTGATGGGGAGGTTAGGGAGACTAGAAAGACTATCAAGAAAAACATTGCTTTGAATCTACAAGACCACTAGAAGCCTTTGTCTGCTCCAGGCTGAAAGATCTGTGTTACTGCTTAGAGGGCAGGTTTCTAGGGAAAAGTCAGGTGCAACACAATGTCAGAAAGGGTTCTGCAGGGGAAATGATTCAGCAGCCAGCTTGGCCAAGGACAACTCATCCAATGGAGTTTGTGAAGACCAAGTGAATGTCACAGTGTCCTAGCCAAATTTTATCAGGGACAATCACTACCTCCCTCCTTCCAAACATCTTTGAAGCATGGTCTCAGAAGGCTTTACATTCCAGCTATCCTCAGGAGATTGAATCCACCTATGACATTTCCATTTCAAAGGCAGACTCCCTTCAGGAATCCTGCCCTTAAGAGCACAATACAAAACAGATCATCCGGTGGGGAGTCAGGAGCCCCTGCTACAACACCCAACTCTGTCAATAATCTGATGCAAAACTGTGGGGTAAATTGTCCTTCTGAGTCTCAGTGCCTACATCCACATTTATCTACTTACAATATAAGTGCTTGAGAAACACCCATAACAGCAGAGCCCTAATTTCATCTGGGATTTCAAGGTTCTGCTTTCTGTACCAAGTGTGGAGTGAAAAAATACCAAGCAGAAAAAATGCACAAATGTGTTTAACCATAACAGAAGCAAAGGAAAGAAATGAAAGAACATCAAAGGGACATCCTGTACCCAAGAATGAGTCTCTTGCTCTTGTCCAGATCAGAAGACCCAAGCAACACCTTATGGTGAAACCTCCAGAAATATTGGGGTCCACAAAACAAAGACAGCTCTTCAGTGAAGAGTAATTTCACAGCAGCAATCTTAAAAGGGTCCTTTGGTTAATGTGGTTGGTAAGAGAAGGTAATTTTTTAGTTTCTTTTAATCAATAAGAAAAGATTTCTTGCCAGGTTTAAGACAGCTTAAAAAACTTGCAACTCAGCCCATGTAAATCTATAGAGATTTTTCAGTCAACACCTATCAAAGACTGACTAATTTCTCACAAAATTCTCTACATGGAGAGTAAAGGCAGGCAGATTATCACTTTTGAATCACAAGTACTTCTGGGGTTAATTACCTGCATCCTTTTAGATTCACAATGCAAACTAAATCTGCACCCACAATTACCCAAAATCATTCCAGTCACTGTTGAAGGTGCACATGAAAAAATCCAGCATTTTATTAAAATGGTTTCCATTTTCTGGTTTAGATAATGTAACTTGATAATGCTTATCTCACCTTGGAATGTATGCCTCAGAAAGAGCTGAGAAAATCTTAGAGATGTTATAGAGAACTTTTTAGGTCATTTCACTGCTGGGGAAGGGATTTTCATCTCCACTGTGAGCTTGTGTCCCAATACCAGTGCAAGCAGGAGGCTTGTATGTCTTGAGCTTTGAAAGAGTGTTTAAAGACACCTTTTGCACTTTCCCATCACAGAATGTTAGGTCTGAATCAAACAGAGATAAACTCCCACCCTCATTAAAGGCTGATTACCTTTACCAGGAGATTTATGTCCTCTGGAGTGAGCAGGGGTGGGGAACCCTATGGAATGAGAAATTCATTATTTCAGGCAATTTTAAGAAGTATCAAGACATGAGAATTTTTCCTGAACATGTTCTTGGATTCTCACTGGTTTTATTATCCTGTCTAGGACCCACTGGGCTAAATTTGTACTTCCCACCCTACCCTACCAATGCTTTTCTTTGGAACCTGAGATGAGTTCTTGCAGAGGGTACTGTACAGTGGTGCTAAGGAAGTGCCTTTAAAATTTTGGCTTTTATTTACATGCAGAATATCCAGCTGTTCTCATACCATTCCAAAGCCTTCACTAAACCTTTAGTGGGTTTTAGTCTTTTTCCTACTGCTCTGCTGGGAAAAACAACAGTGGAAAAGCACCCAATTGCACTTCTGAGGTGAGGTGTACAGGTGGAAACTGAGTTAAAAGGAAGATGTAACACAGAAGTGAAGTTACATACAGGTTTTCCAGGAGGTCCTCGTTCCCCTGGATTTCCTGGTACACCCTATAGATCAAGAAAAAGAAAAAAAATGTGAAATTATTATACGATACCCCCTGGTTTCTCTTGCACTCTGCTGACTGATCTGCACTAGTGTACATTTTACTTTCTTCTGCTGAGCAGCACTACTCCTTGCATGCGACAGACAGCAAACTCCTCCAAATATCTGCAACTTGAACATCTTCTCAAACCCTTGCTAAATTCATTTGAGTCACACAGAGAGTGGAATTGCTTTAGCTTGTCTTCTGGTGATAGGAAACACTATGAACTTTACCGGTGTGAAGGATGAAGCTTTAAATCTCTGAAGGCACCTGTCAACAAGCAAAATCAATTTGTTTGGTTGGTTGGTTGTTTGTTTGTTGAGGTGTAGTGGTATCAGTTTGCTTGAGATGAAGGCATAGAAGTTACCAACATTTTCAGAATTTTATGTTCAGAAAGGCAGGATTAGGAAAAGGGACAACTTCCATCCCTCAGTGTGCATCTCTTACATGTTGTTTACAAGGAATTAAGTTTGCTAAAAACAAAACAAAACCCATGTGTAAAAATTTTTGTAAAATCTTTGCATAAAGTAACGCTGACTTGGGAAACCAAATATTTCGAACAAGACAGTTGGCCATGGCTCAGATGGTGACAATAATCTGCATTGTGAGGATCCTTGCAGTTTTAAGGATACTCAGTGACATTTCCCCAAACCATTTTCTCCTGAATTCCTGTATCCACCTGGTCCATCACCCTGTGTCATCACTCAAGCAAGTGCATGTTCCGTTCATACTTAGAACCTTAAAGAGCATACAAAATTTACCACATACAAAAGCTGTCCTACCTGATCATTTTTGTCTCTAAAGGAACAGTTTTTACTGACCATCTAAAAAGATCTTATTTGTGTTTAGCTTTGTTGATTCTGCAGAAGTCCTACATAAGGTTTTCTCTCAGATGGTTCCAGATTTGCCACCCAGGATGTTCACAGAATCACAGAAGGGTTTGGGTTGGAAGGAACCTTCAAGACCATCTAAATCCAACCCCTTGCCATGGGCAGGGACACCTTCCACTAGACCAGTTTGCTTCAAGCCCCATCCAACCTGGCCTTGAACACTGCCAGGGATGGGGCAGCAAAGCTTCTCTGGAGAGCCTGTGCCAGTTGCCACCCTCACAGAAAAGAACTTCTTCCATATATCTATTTTGAACCCCCTTTATCCCAGTTTGAAGCCATTACCCTCTTCCTGCCACTCCCCTTCTGTGGAGAGAAAAAGGTTGAAAGTGGAAGACTTGATGAGGAGGGAAAAATAGTTGTTTTCACTCAAGATGACCTTGCAGCTGGAGGATGCTAAGAATATTCAGTGTGGAAAATTTCATGTGTTGTGTTTTCTCAGGGTTGTTTTCTGTCTGTCTTGAGAAGTGGAGGTTTTATAGAAGATAACAGAATGCTGCAAAAAACTTAAAAGGCATTCCTCACAGGCTGGGGCCTCCCTGCTGGATGAAGGAGAGATAAGAAGCTTGGAGGTTACCCTGAGCAATTTTGCCCCTGCCAAGATGGAACAAGCTTAGCAGTGCATGTGTCCCCAATCTGACAGAATGGTAATGGAATAAATCTATTCATACACTTCTGGATTTTGGCTGTCTTGGTTACTTATAGTTCCCACACCATGTCAAAAGTCCATCTTTCTTCAAGGCTCCCTTCAGGTACTGGAAGACCATGAACAGGTCACCCTGAAGTCTTCACTCTTCCAGGCTCAACAATCCAAATTCTCTCCACCTTTCTTTGTAAGAGAGTTGCTCTATCCCTCCAGTTTCCCTGGTGGGCTCCTCTGGACTCACTCTAACAGTTCCACGTCCTTCCTGTGCTGTGGGACCCCAGAGCTGGGCACAGCACTGCACGTGGGGTCTCACCAAAGTGGAGTAGAGAGGCAGAATCCCCTCCCCTGACCTCTTGGCCACGCTAGTTTTGATACAGCCCAGGACTTGACTGGCTTTTTGGGCTGCATCAACATCTGGATGCTGATCAAGGTACAAGTAGTGGCTTTCAATCAGCCTAGGCTCAGCAGGAGCTACTCTTTGAGACTCTAGTATTTCCATAAGGAAAGTTCCTTTAAAATTTGGTCGAATGCTTAGACAGGAAGGGCACTGGGTGTTCTTTCTGCCACCTTGTCTCAGGTTATTCAGTTATGCCAATCAGTTCATTGCATTATTTACACAGACAACCAGATGGGGACATGAGAATTAATGACTGAAGAGCACTGTGTGTCATGATACACCACAATTGTAGCTATAGGGCAAACTTGAATTTCATCCTTGAGTCTCACTTAGTACTTAAATCCTGTATGCCTTGCTAGAGGAGAGAAAAAATGGGAAAAATATATTGATTATCTTTTTCTATGTCCATATTAAATGCTTCTGGATGAGCAACAACCTTTCAATTACCTTGACATTCTAAGAGACAAAAATTAAACAGACACTGAAATGGACCTAAAGTGGAGCGGAAGTAGCACTGAAGTTCATGGATGAATTCTTGTTTCCTTCTGCAGGTGAGAACAAAGAGAAGATAACGTCTGAAGAAGATGTTTAGCTCACTTTTCTCCCCAGAAGTCCTTCTGGGGAATTGAGTAAATATAAGTAATCACTTTAGTCATTTATAGCTTTCCTTCTTCCACAGAATTTCAAGGTGAATCAGAGAACTGTGCATTCCTTCCCTTTCACAGATGCTAAATGTCAGGTCATGCTTTTGGCATCTTCTCCACTGTGTTCTTGCCACTTCTGCAAATGGGAAGAGGGATGGCTAAATAACAATTACACAGATCTTATATTCCCAGACCTACTTTGTTCAGGAAGACTCACACAAAACTTGCTCTAAAAAGTGTTGACGCAAAGCAAAAACTTGAGCCATGAGAATAATCCTGGATCAGAAAGCAAGACAGAAAAGACAGTTCAGAAATGTCTTTCATGCTGACTAGTAGCACAGCTATAAATATATGCCATAGGGCTCACTGACAGCCTTCTGCTTTGGGATCTGAAATATGAACATGGCACTAGCAGTCTAATCTGAGTATTTAAAGATCTTTTAAAAAAAGAATATAGGAAAAGACATCTTAGTTATGAGAAAAGACACACAAGAAGAGAATGAATAAAATGGAAATCCTTGGAAAGGATTAAGCACAGCTATCATGTCCACATGGTATCAGACTGCCTTGAGACTAAAAGGCATTTTCTTGCATGTTGTATGATGTGGAGCTGGTGATGTCTCTAAAAGGGTGGAAATGAGACAGGAAAAGAGATTAAGCTCTGTGCCACGGCTGACAAACATGAATAAAACCCTGAATCCCCAGGAAAAGTCAAACAATTGAAAGGTACAAGACTGCAAACAGAGAATGTCCATTGAAGATGCTTTTGTGAGCCAAACAGAACAAATCAGATGTAGATGATGGCATTTCAGCATAGTGCATTATCAGAGAACAGGCCAGTGGAAGCAGAGTCAAAAGCAGAGGAAATATTGCTGGTCTGTAGGGGCCTGGAGTTAGAAAAGGCTGACAAAAACAGACAAGCTACAAATACAGAATCACAGAATACCCTGGGTTGTAAGGGACCCACAAAAAATCAAGTCCAGCTCCTGGTCTTGCACAGGACAATCCCAAAAATCACACCAGATGCCTGGGAGCACTATCCAAATGCTCCTTGAACTCTGTCCGTCTTGGTGCTGTGACCACTTGCCTGGAGATCCTGTTCCAGTGTCTGGCCACTATCTGGATGAAGAACCTTTTCCTAATATCAAACCTAAACCTCCCCTAATGCAGCTTCATATTGCTCAGAGCAGAATGAAAATGCTAGAATGAAGACATGGAATTTAAAACTGCATCTGACAAGCTAATAGGGGAGGGAACTGGAAAAGAGAAAGCCAGAAAATTCAGAAAAAAGGAAATGAGTCTGACCAAAAAACTGCATGGCACAGAAAATAAATGCTGCTAACACGATGAGGGAAAATGCACAGACCCAAGTAACAACCAGTGTTGGAAAACTCATAAAGTTTGAACATTTTCAGGGAAAAGATGTCAGCCATGAGGAGGTGTGATGTACAGTATCCAGAGCATCAGTCTGCAAAATCTGACAAACAGAAATGGTCTTTAAATGGGAACTGATGGAAACTGTGCTGCTGATAATACTAAGAAACAATATTTAGCTTGGTTGGTTGGCAAATTGTGCTAATTACGCCAAAGTTGTGGGTTTGATCCCTCATGGCCCATTCACTTCAGACTTGGACTTTATGAGCCTTGTGGGTCTCTTCCAATACAGAATATTCTGATTCTGTAACTAAAAAGAAATTAAATGCTGGTGCAGTTAAGAGGCAAAATCCTATGATGGGGAAAATGATGCTCAGGTAAGTGGTGCATGTGAAAATACTCAAAGAAAGTCTGTAAGGAAACATAAGTGTATAGGGGAAGTGTGTAAGTCACACAGGCATATGGTGGAATTGTTCTATTACAAGACTAAAAATTAAACTTGAAATGCAGTATCTTAAATCAGTTATATGTCACAGCAATAAAGAGACAATAGGTGGGTTAATAAGTGTACCCTGGTTCAGGGTGTAAGTACCCTAAAACAAACACAAAGGCTCCTTGGAACTGTCCTTCTAACTGGATGGGAAAATCAACCTCAGAACAGCAAACTCTACTTTTCAAATCCATTGGCAGTAATTTATGCATCCACAAAGGTTTTGCAATTATGAAAGAAAACACAGGGGGAAGATGAACTTCTCAGTAATGCTGGAACTTGGTTACCATAAATAATTAACCTAATTAAAATGTGATTAATTCAGTGTTTATGTTAATTCAAGTTATCATAATCAAAATACAGAAAGATCCTATTAAACAGGTGCCCTCACTGTTTATAGGAGGATAAGAGAATATCTCATTCAGATTGTTTCCTAATCTAAGGACACTAAATAAGTGTGTTGAACAGAAACATTTTATCTCCCAGCAGACAGGCAGGGGAGAACAGATGATTCCCAAAACATGAAGTGTAAGGTGGCTGGCCAGAGAGTGTCTGCTCCTTTAGGGGTCAAGGACCTTTTGGAATTTGACAAAGGAAGAGAATGAAAAAGTCATAAATTAGAATGCCAAGGACACAAACCTGACCAACAAAAAAGGATGGCAGTGATGGGAAGCAAACCTGGACATTCACACTGATTGATCAAGGCATGTGGAAATATGAGGAGCTTATTGCAGCAAGGTTACCTCATCCTGGACCTTGTCAGCTAGGAAATTAAGGGAAAAGGAGGAAATCAGAACCCAAATTTTCCAAGACACACAGACCTAAGAAGAAGCAGATCTTGTCGCTGCCAGTAACTGATGGGATATCAAAAACCAGACTGCATTTCCTGGGAGAGCAATCTGCACCTTGCAAGAGATCAGATTGTAAACTGGGGGATCATGAACTGGGAGGGCTGAGGGACTGATAGAGCTGGGGAGATGCATGAGGGGCTGTGCAGGGGAAGACAGAGTAACAAACAAACAGGGGGTACACACAAAAGGGCATAAAAGGGTATAAACCAGACCTGGCTGAGCATTTGTTTGGCTGAGCCCCGCATCTGCCCACTGTGGCTTGTCCTGTCATTTTACATCTTCTAATAAACCTTTTCATAGAATCATGGGATGGTTTGGAAGGGACCTGAAATCCCGTCTCATTCCAATCCCCTGCCATGGACAGGACACTTTCCACTGGACCAGGTGGCTCCAAGCTCTATCCAACGTGGCCTTGAGCACTTGCAGGGATGGGGCAGTCACAGCTTCTCTGGGCATTCTGCTCCAGTGCTTCACTACATGCACAGTTAAGAATTTCTTCCATATCTCTAATTTAACCAGGCAGGAGGGACCTGCTCTGCAGCAGCTGGAGGAGACAGCACTGCATATAACATCACTGAACATGTAGAAATACTTTTTTATAATTCTCAGACTAGGAGATTGGCCAGCTTCTCTGACAGAAGGTACTTAAGGCTATACTATTTTAATGCTTGATACAGGAATACTGCCAGATTAAAATGTGACTTGGATTTTTTTTTTTTTCCCAAAAGCAAGAGAAAGTAATTTTAGGAAGTGACTGAGGTCCTTAAAGTAGGCACAATAGTAGTTCTGTTACGGAAAAAAATATCATATTATTAGGGGAAAATGACCTAAAAAAAGCACACTTTTCAGGCTTTAAGAATTGAAGCTTTGGTTAATCAGAAAAAAAAAAAAAAAACAGCTTTGGTTAATCAGAAAAAAAAAAATGCAAGTTTAAAGACAAGAAAATTATATATATGGAAGAAGACAACATGTCCCAGCTTTGTCACAGAAAAAATAAAATTCATAGGGATTTATGGACATAATGAACTCTAGAGGACAAACAAATAGTAAGGCTTTTTCTAGGAGGAACAGAACAAGGCCAAAGCAGCACAATTCTACTGCAAACCTAGGCAAGTATTTTCAAAACCTAAATTTGAATTAAAAAAGACACTGTCCTGAGAACTCTTGACATTAGATTGAGTAGGCAACAGATATTTCAAAAGGTGACTTTGAAAATATCCCAAAAAAATATGGCACATGCTTTTAGGGAACCAGAAAAAATCTAGAAGGCAGTCATGTAAAAAAACCCAATTTATTCACCAGTGGGAGAGAATTCTGGCCAAAGCTATTGTAAAAATAGCATTGATTCTTTCATCTCCCCAAATGCAGTTGTAAATCTGATTTGCTGTATCAGAAAATGCAACTGATAGCAGGCATTTCCACAAGAATCTGATGAGTTTGCAACTGGAAAAAATATTTCAGAGAGCAACTTGGTGTATGTAAATGTCATTTAAAAGAATTTTTCAGTCTCAGAAAAAAAACATGGAATACATTTGCAAAGGCCACAGCAAAGTACAAGACACTGAGGCAAGACATTCAGGCAATTGACACTGCATGGCTTGGGAGCTGCATGGCAAATTCATATTAGCAATTCAAATTGGAGCTTTCCTATCCAATGATATCCTGTTTGAACACAGCAGAGTACAAAAATGGACATGTTTCAGAGGATACAGGAACACTGCATTGGCACACAAGAGTGCAGAAGCAGAATAAAAAGTTCCTTATGCTAGTTAAATAAAGATAGAGATCAGGGAACTGCAAATGCATGATCTTGTCAAAATAGGTTATCCCTGCTGACACACCAAGAAATGTTGGAATGTGCCCTGTACCTCCAATTATACCTCCTGAAACACAAATAGAATGGTTTAACAAGTGATCAGACAATACAGAAAGGGTCTAAAACACATACTGACTGCAATTAAGGCAGTGAGTGTAACAAAGAATGTGTTTTATAAGTAGCCTGAGGAATGTTTGTGTTTGGATTAATTTTCTGCAGAGAAAAGAAAAATATAAAGATCTCAGTGCTGCATCTCCAAGAGTTGACCAGCCAACGCTGATCTGAGCAGAGCCAGAAAGAGACCCCAAAAAGCTGCCTCAGGCACTCTCCTCACACACTACAACTCTAATAAACCCATCTATCCTATCTCCTGTTCAAAACATCTTAATTAAAAATTTCAAACATCTGAGGCAAGGTGATGAGATCTAGAGACAGGCACCAGGACACAATTATTCCCAAATCTCTGGCTGCCCAGGAACACAAGGGACCATTTCAGCTATCACGGGCTCTGGAAGAAAACCCTGGATCAATCATGTGTCTTGTGACAAAGTATAGAGCCAGAGAATCTTTGAATGGTTTGGGTTGGAAGGGACCATACAGGTCATCCAGTTCCAAACTTGTGCCATAGGCAGGGACACCTTCCACTCTCCCAGGATGCTCAGAGCCCCATCCAGCCTGGCCTTGGACACTTCCAGGGATGGGGCATCCACAACCCCTCTGGGAATAAGTAGGTGGGAAGAAAACAGGAGCTTTCTACAGGAAACTACCCCCTTTAGGCCACCTGATGGATTCAGTAAAGCCACACTAGGGTTGAAAAGTGCTTGCTGTGGAGTTGGCAAGAGCTGGTACCCATTTCAGACATGACAGCATCACAGAGCAGCACTGAGAAGGAGAGTTCCAAGAGGTCACTTCCCCCTCCCCTCAGTGTTCCCTTAAACCCAAAGATCAAGCCCTTCCAAATCTTCAGAGGCTCCTTCAGAGGACTGGTTTCCACATCACAGAGGAAAAAAAATTCTCCTCTTTCTGATGCAGCACTGAAGTGGAACCAGGCAGAGAGAGGGGCCAGCTTTCCAGCTGGGAGTCTGCCACGTTCCTCTCTGTTCCTCAGTTCCATGACTCACCACTGTGATAGTGGGAGGACAATGCACCAAGAGGTTAAAACGTCCTCAAACATGCACAATAGCAGCAGCAAAATGAACTCACAGAGAACTTAACAGCTGTGGCCCTGTTTTAACAGAAAGGGTACTTATCTCAGTGGATTCTAAGAAGTTCCTAGACAGCCTCACCACCATCCTTTTCCAGTGTGGGATCTTTCCCCAGTGTATGCTGCCAAGTCCCTCCTCCAGTGTCATCTTAAAATGGTGCAGTGATGAACCCCACTTTCCTTGAAGCAATCCTCCTTATTCCAGCTATTTTCCCCTTTGACATCCTAAGTTGTAAGAGCTCTGCTTCTGCAAATCATCTCCTTTGGATAACGCTAATAACACTCAGAGACTGCAGTTGTTTATCAGCACAAATTTTTAAGGAAATTAGATGCAAGCACTGACCAATTTCTTGAGCACTTAGACTTTTATTTTACTTACATCCTGGCCAGGAGGCCCCTGTGGTCCAGGGATCCCAGGCACACCACGAGGACCCTGAGAGGGAGAGAACAGACAAACCCAGAAATGTGAGCAGTATTCATGAGGTGCTTCTTAGCTGAAGAGAGGAAATCCTTAACCTGAAAGTTATTAGTGGAAAAATTAACCAGAACCTACACAACTATGAGAGAGTTTAAGAAAAAATATAATTACAGCTCACACTGCACTATCCTGGTATCAGTCATTCCTGTGCCTCAAGGGACTTCATGTGCATCACTAAAGTCAAGCTTCCCATACATTGATTGCAGAGGTAATAATGACCTTTTACAGGAGGTGGGTTTTTGAACAGGAATATGACTGAGCACAGGACAATGGAGGAGAAAAGAAGGTCCATCTCCTCAGTTCCAGGCTATCACACTGCTAGGACAGGCTGTTGTGCTGGAAATTCAGGACAGTGTCTACTGAGACCATGGTACACAGTTGTTTGTTCCACACCAATGGACTGCACCCTTGAAAAACTCAATACTGAGGGACTAAAGTGTGTTTGGTGAATACTGAAATCTGTAAGATTTAAGTAAGAAAAATGTTCTAAAATGGTTTCTTTTAAACCTTTGAGGCTTTGGCTATACGAAATATGCCTTGAATTATGTGCTTAAAAATAATTTTTTGAAATAAAGGTGAAGCAAGACACTTATTATTTCTGTTGTAGGACTATTGTCACATAAGGAAAAGTTTCCACCAGGCCAAGGCACTTGATGAACTCCTTCTCACAGCTCAATATAGCAGACAAGTACCTGGTAATACACAGAAGTTTTGGTGGATCAGCCACCCTGTGACCATTCCTCAAGCAAAACCACAGTAATTACATCTGCCCTCATGAAATGGTAAAAACATAATTAATGTGGTTGTCCCCTCCCCAAAGAATTTGGGTATAGGAGCAAAACCACAGCAATTACATCTGCCCTCATGAAATGACTGGTAAAAACACAATTAATGTGGTTGTCCCCTCCCCAAAGAATTTGGGTATAGCTAGAAAGACATACTGTACCAGTGACCCTTTGTCTCCCGGGGGTCCTGCAGGGCCCTACAAACAGAAAAGACACAGCAATAAAACCACTTAAAATTCTCATTTAGCAGGGTGGGTCCTGCATTAAGGCATTATTCTCTGCACTGGACTGTATGCTGCACTCATGAGTGTGGATGTGTGTGCACTGTGTCCATGAACAACCCATGCTCCTGGCTGGGTCTGGAGACACAGAACCACAGCATCCACACATCCCTTGGGCTGGGACAGGACAACTCCCCCAGGTTCTGAAGACCACTACATTCAGCTACTTCCTACACAAGGAAAAACATCCCACAGGCCTTCTGTGCTCCTTAATGTAGGTCAAAGCAGGGGAGGCAGTGGGCTTGTGCATGCTGTTTGTTTGGGGATGCAACTTAAAATGTACAGCTGAGTAGAGTACTGGCAGGCACCCACTGGCAGGCACCCACTTCTATAGGAACACCACAGAAGTGATGCAGTACCATATCCATCATGGGTGACTCAATCTGGTATTCCAAACACACCCAAAACAAGGCTTGAATAAATTGGCTACCACTATAACTCCTCTCTCCTTCTGCTTTCTGTTTCAGGCACAGCAACTCATTAATCCTCACAATGTCTCCATGAAAGAAGACACCTTAGTGCATGTTAAAGAAATGGCTTAATGCATAATTTAATTAATACCCACAAGGCTAGGCAGGGCAAAATTGAAACCTTTCTACTTATACCGTGCATCCATGCATTAGGCAGCTTCAGCATAAACATGTGAATTCACCCCAATTGTCCAAGCTGTCCCCTGCTCTGTTGGAAATAGCACACTCTGCTAATGTTCAAGTTTATGGCTCAGTGTTATGTAAATTGTAACTCAATACTTCAGCAGATATGGTAAAAAAAATCCACATCTATATATACTTTTTCTGCAGGGAGCAAAGCCTGAGAGAGGTTAAGGGCACAGGAGGAAACAGGGTGAGGATTCCAATTAAAAAGAGTTGTTGGCTCTCAGCTCTGAAACTGAAGTATTATGAACACAATTTTGTCACATTGCTAAAAGGAGTAGAGGCTGACGTCTTTAATTCAGCGTGTAATATGCACTGAAGCAACTCCACTGATTTTATTCTGGTTTTCTTTACTGTAGGATTCAGTCTTTGTGACAGTCTGCTAGATTCAAGGTTATACAGAGTTGTTTTTTTTTTCCAATTCCAGTATTTGCACTGGAGCTGAGGTTATGATAAATCTACAGTGGAAAAAACCCATCATAATAGGGGTTTGGTTGTTGTTTTGTTGAGTTTTTTCTTTCTTTTTCTAAAGAAGCATTTAGTAAAGCAAATTAAATAAATAAAACATATCATTTGAGAACAGTGTGGTGTGTAGGTGGCTACACATCCTGACAGTGGGCAAATAATGAAGACACCGAAAAAACCAATCTTGTGGTGTGAGACAAGAGATGTCTGCATTTGGAGTCAAGTCCTTAGTCATTTGTGTTTATGGAGATGAGGATGCTAAATCCCCAATGAAGAACAACTTTGTCATCCTGTGTACATCAGGATGCAGACATGAACTCATTGAGCCCTGGACTGAATCTAAAAATCTGTAATTAAGGACTATTCACTAGCTTGTGATTTTCAAACAAGCCAGATACTAATTTTTTAATTTAATTTTAATTTAATTAATGGCTGAACATTGAGAAATACAAGAACACCACTGTTCCTTAGATAGAATCATAGATAAATCTACAGATCCTTAGATAAATCAAAGGACACCCAGGAAACCTGCAGTAAATGGCAATTCTGTGAGTACCATAAAAGCCATGATAGAATCACAGTGTGAAACAGGACCAACCCAGTCTGTTCTAACTCAGACAGAATTCAGCATGGTAAAAGCAAATATTAAGTGGACAGAAGTCAGAAAGTCAGATTTTTCAACTCATTACTCAGCAATATGACTTATCATTTCAAGGCAACTTCCTGTACTAACTGGGATATTTATATCTAGATAAACAGAGCACTGATAACCAAACATTGAATGATTGATCCAGGATCATGGCATGCATGAGGTATTGCAAAAGAATGCAAGGGCTCAGATGTCCTCATGCAATTACAGCCAGAATTTTGCTTCCTCCTAAACATATTTCACTAGCAAATTCAGTGCATAGCTGGAGGTCTCTGAGCAGGACTACTGCCAGAGCACTGCCAAATCCCTCTCATTTCTAGAGGAGTTATACAAGACAAGCACGGGAGTGACCAAAGCCCAGCAACACAAAAATCCAAATTTTCTGAGCAGACTCCTGTATACACTATGTGACCAACTGATAGCCAGGGGGGCAGAGCTGGATGAGGTCAAACCTACCAAATATTTGGGGGAAATTATGGGGAGAAGGCCCCTCTTGGAACACAGCAGTTTAATCAATCTGATTTTGTATTTTGCTATTGGGGTGTCTCTATCTCACTGATGTGGACATGTGTGCCACACTCATCCCTTCCAACAGGGTCATACAACAGCAAGGTTGTGTCTGTCCAGGAGACCAGAGCTGCTGCCTTGGCACAGATCTCCTCTCACATCCACAGCCAGTGCACCAGGGTGACGCACAAAATTCAGGAGTGACAGTCCTGACGAAATTCAGGAGTGACACCAATCAATCCTACGGCACTTTTAGCCCTCACAGCAGACATGTGACATGTGAGCTACAAATGGCAGCCTCGGGACTCTTCTGGAATCTGCACCTCCAGAAGGCAAAGCATCCCGTAGGCTCTCAGCACAGCTAAGCACAGGCAGTGCAGGTGGCAATGCCTGACTTTCCACCTTGTTACAGGCTGCAACAGGACCTGCTACTTACAGGGGGTCCAGCCAGGCCGACTCCTGGCACTCCTCTGTCTCCTGGCTGTCCAGGGAGGCCAGGAGCTCCCCTCTCACCCTGAAATGAAGGAAAGAGTTAAAAGTTTTGTGCACTGATGAGAAAATGTACTGAAATGCAAGCAGGTGGTGCAACAGAATGTCACATGAGTACATCTGATCCTGATCCTGCCCACAGAGGGACAGATTTTGCTTGTGGCAGCATGGGGACATGGCACAGTTACTGTCTCATCATGCCATTAAAGTGTCCCTTTCCACCACAGGGACCCCAGCTCACCTCTGCAGGCTCAGAGTGTGCCATGTCACATCACAGAACTGAGAGCAAACACAATCTTTGCACTTGCATTCATTTATTTTAGTGCACTGCACCAAATTTCCAGCATTTCACAGAATCACAAAGATTCTGGAAGAGACCTTCAAGATCAGCTAGTCCAGCCACCATCCCAGCAGCATCTTAATCACCCCAAACCACACCCCCAAGAGCCAATTCCAGAACACTTCCAGAACCAGTGACTTCACCAGGGTAGCAGGCACTTTCCTGGGTTTAGGGAAGCACATAAAAACTTTTCTCTCTCTGTGCTAGAAGGCTAAGGCACAAAAATTGCTGAACATAGATCATTTATCTGGGGAAGACAGGATTAGTGAAGTTTTACTGTATCTTAATATTCTCCTGTCTTTTACCAACATAGGCCTACTCACAGAAATTATTTTGGTAAAATATAAGTCAACACTTCTACCACTCTCTCTCAAGCACTGCACTAGAAAAGGAGAACCTTCCCTTCTAAAAAACAGATTTTCAAAGTAAAACCTGAACAGCACAGAAAACAGCCTGACATTGTTCAATGCACACTGTAGACAGAGGGCTAAGAAAGAATTCAGCTGTAAGACTTTAATTTAACATCTGTTTTCTAGTTATGGGGAGAAATCAATAAGAATTTTATGGATTGCATTGCAGTTGGGAGATTTGGTCTCCCATTGGCAGTAGATTTATAACAACCAATCTTATTTATGCTATTTATTATGACATTATTTCTAGCTATATAGAAGCAGGATAGAAAAATTGTTACCTGTGGATTCTGCCCACTCAAAATTAAATCTGCAATATCTCCTATTTTTCCCCTTTCTTGCTTTCTTCTTAAGCTAATCTTTTACTACAAAGAAATAATACTGCAAGGCCCATGAGGAAAAATGCGTTCTGATTAGTTCAAACACTCCACACATCCCTTATCAGTTATTTTATTCAGAAAGATAATTTCAATACAAAAATTTCAATAGTATTTTCTCACATACAATTAAGACTTTTATCTTCTGTTGCTATTGAATAGAATACTTAATGAGATTTCTTTTAGTGATTTTTTTCTGACTTTTATATTAATTCTCAGTCTATTAGTGTGTGTCTGTGTGGGTGTAGGTCTGTGTTCTCAACTGTCAAAGATATATAGAAAAGACTACAATGCATTTGTACAAAGTGCATCAAAACTAAAGAAAATCATAGCAGTTTGGTTATTTCAAAAATATGGGACGCAGATGGATCAGGTCTCATACCCCTATAATCCTGCTTCTATCATTTACAGAATCTGTTTCAACATCTGATTCTTCTTCCAGTCCACATCAGAAAATGGTCATTTTGAAGAGGACAACTTCTGAAATGTCTGATAAATGTTCAAGCACAATCCAGATCCTCCCAAAATCAAAGATTTCTGCTGTTTTATTCCTTTCTCTCTTTTCTGTGTGCTTATAAGGGACTAAACATTACTTTCAGCAGAAGTTAGCGTCATCAACCTCTTCAACTAGCTAGTCTTTGCCTCAATACAGGAGGAGAAACCAGGACTGCCTGGTTCTACTGGAAAATAATGAATGTCTTCTTTGAAGAGAAATAAAGGGAATTTGGGCTAGGGAAAAGTTCTCTTTGAGGGCTGACAGGTGGTCCTGAGAGCAGAACACCCCTGAGCCATGCAGAGTCTCCCTGGTTGTGTGGATTAAAGGGTCCCAGCCAGTTTCCCTGAAAAAGTGTGCACTGAGACCTCCATCTGTGCTGAATTCTTACAATGGTAAGAATTCTTCTTCTTACGAAGATATTATAAATGTGGAAAGTGAACACAGCTAATTCATAGCTGAGTATTTACATCCACAGAGACGCTGAAATAACAAAGAAAAGGAACTTCCTAAAAGGCTAGAAGTGCATTTCTGATTCAGAGCTTTGCAAACTATTTTCCAGTGGAAAACAGACCATGTTTGCACCGTGTTCTTTTCTCCAGTTCAAGTGATTAAGATGAGCAGTCCACAGTGAAGTCCATCCTCACCTTATGTCCAAAGGGTCCTGGCAAGCCTGGTGGTCCTCTTTCCCCCTAAAGTGCCAAAAGCAAACCAAGAAAACAGTCACCACCCAGCCAAACAAGAGCCTGGACTTTGCCACAGTCAAGGCAGCAATTCCACCACTGCCCTCCTGAGCTCACACCGTCCTGGCAATATTTTACTGACAACATGTAACCAAATTAAACAATCTTCTAACTGGGCAAGAATTAAAAGCTTTTAGGGAACTTCCATCAAGCTAATGATTTTTGTGCTAGTCACAATGGCAATGGTTACTCCTAGTGGAGGTCTCTGTTTCCAATGTAAATTTCAGAAATACATCTTCAGTACTCTCTCTCAGTTTTGTTTTTTTTTATGCACAGGTGAGATCTGGAGCATTTTCCACAGGCAGGCTTCCATGGATTCAGGTAAATCCATGCTCTCCTGCAGGAGCCATGGTTGCCTGTCTCATATTGAACCATTCAAACAACTTTTTTTTAATGCACAGGTGAGATCTGGAGCATTTTCCACAGGCAGGCTTCCATGGATTCAGGTAAATCCATGCTCTCCTGCAGGAGCCATGGTTGCCTGTCTCATATTGAACCATTCAAACACAAAGCTTGCCAGCAGTACTTACCCTTTCTCCATCTTTACCCTTCCCAGGCAAACCTGGCTCTCCAGCACGCCCTGGCTCACCAGGTGGCCCAGGTAAACCCACTTTTCCTTCTTTTCCAGGATCACCCTGTAGAAGAGAAGCCACCAGAACTCATTAAAATACTATAGATAATTACCATCTCAGGTCTTTCATTGGAACTGAAAGACATGGATATTTTCCTAGCTGTCTCATCTGGATTTCTTTTGGTATCATAGGAAAACCTCTTTAAAGGGAATTTTTTTCCTTCAGTAATCTCAAGGCACATGTAATTTCCAATAAGGAAAGTAAAAGAAGACTTCAAAATGTTTTGGGAAGCAGTTATATGCGGTGGTGTGCTCTCTCCATGGAGCACACCCCAACCTGAACTCATCAAAGTTGTGCTGTGACACTGAGAAGTGCCGGAATGTGCCCTGATCCCAACCTAATCTTTGCTTCCCATAACCCTGCCTAAGTGTCACCCAGCAGCAGCAGCAGCAGTACTGGATGCCTCTGGCTGTGATGGCTGCTCCTGACTCACAGTGAGTTCAGGGGAGGCATAACATCCCTACAGGTGAGGGCTGGCTTGGGCAATGTGCTCGCCTAACCACAGTGCTGGTCAAGGTCTTCACAAATTTGGGAGAAACTAACATTTGTAGCCAGCCTGAAAACATGAGCCAACCATCTTACCCCAAGAACAGTGCACAGCCCAGGGCCTGAAGTGAGCTGCATGCCCAGATCTCTCACTGAGCACAGATGCCTCTCAAGGTAACCCCTCAAATTATCACCTTATCACATCAGATACTCAGCAAACAAAATGGGAATAAATGCATTTGAAACTTTGAAACCTTAGCTAAGTGATATAAAGGATCGGTTGCACACATACAATGCTTTAGACAAAATATTGATCAAGTTTGGGATTAACTTTGGATGCAGCCACACCTAAATTCCTCTCTGAGAAGGAGCTTAGAACACAAAGGGATCCTTTCTGAAGCTCATGACTCAACAGAAGGGTCTCCCTGACAGTTTTGTCTCTCCCTCTCCACAATGCAGTAAATAATCAAGTGTATCTTGCATTGAATCTTGTTAAAGCACCGTGGCATTTACCATTGAACTTTGTTAACTTGGTGTCTTAGATCAATAAAATATACTGTTCTTTCTTGTGAGTGAAGTGCATCACTCTTTCTGCAACACTGAATGAGAGAGCCCTTGGTCCTCACATGACCCTAAGGCAGAGCTCAGTAATTTAGAAGAAGATTTTACTGAAGGAACTGGGATTCATTCCCTTTTAAGCACCAAATACATGGATATAGGGGGTCATGTTTCTGATTAATCATTCCTACGCCAGAAAACAAAGATCAGGACTTCAGCATGCTGGGCACTCTGGGTGCATGACCAAACACAACCCCCTGAATTCAGAAAGCTCACGAAAGGGGCCAGAAAACCAGTTTTTCTTCCAGCTTTGGATTTACAGTGATGAATAGCAGTTTCTTAAAACACCAAATGCCTGCTCTTGTCAGGTAATGAGGACAGCAGAAGACCAGAACTGTGTACCAGTGACTTCACTGTATCCAGTCATATCTCAGTGGTTTATTAGGCAAATTATAAAGCAGCAACTGGGTGAAAACCTTACAGCATGTAAAACAGAGGAGTTCAGACAAGATGAACTCATGAACCCATGTGTCTTAACCATCCATGCTGTCACTATTACCTAAAATGCTCAAGAAAATAAAGAAACAAGCCCATCAAGAACCAACTCACCTTTTCCCCCTTCTCTCCTGCCTTTCCGGGGAATCCAGGGCTTCCAGGCACACCCTGGAGAGAAAAGAACTTTAAATCTCAGAAGTTTTCTGTAGGCAGTATTGGATTTTAAACAAAGGGCAGACCTATGGGTTCAGTATACTTTATCTCAAGGGTCAGTATCAGCTCTACATTTCCCAGTACAGAAAATCTGCAACCCAGAAAATACCACAGAAGGTGTGTAACAGGTCCTTAAAGGAGGAATTTCTTTTTCGATATAAAAAACAGCTGAACAGAAAAAACAGAAACTGAGCAAGTACCAGATTTGCGCATTCTATCAGTCACTACTTCTTTCATTTTGTGAAATTCTCAGTAGTTTCTAATATGCTACCAACAAACTCCAATCACCACCTCTGTATCAGAGAAGCCAAAAGCCTCCCAAACACTGGGAAATGTAGCTCTGTTCATTTCTTCCTCTACTTCAGTTTTCAATCCTTTTAACATCTTGGCAGGTCTCAAAGGACTCTGTGTCAAAATATAGATGATTTAGAGCTCTAAATTAAGTACTGTAACTTCCTAACCCACCAAAACATATTTTAGAATGGTACTCCATTTTAAGATGTGAAATCATGTCTTGGCACCATTAAGATTGGATTGACCTCAGAATGGATGTGATAATTATTTTCCTTTCTGCACCAGTAAAAATTATTTCCAACTATATTGGCTTTTATAGGTAATATATTGGTATTACTGGTATAGAAGTTTGCTTAATGGAATATGAAATTGAAAAGTTCTTAATTTTCCATATCACCTTTCACTTTTAAATTAAATCACTACATTAATACAATTAAATCAAATGTATCTTAACAATTAGTTGAAGGGCAATTTAAGTTTTCTTGGATTGCCCAGGTAATAAACTTTGGTTCTAATAGTGCTATGTTCTAAACCCCAGTGCCTGAATACATCATATCCTGAGGTCTAAATGCTGTTTTTCACCTACTCCAGTCTAAGCCAAATGAAACCCCAAGAACTAGAAAGAAAATTACCCTATTGGAACTGGGAGTAGAGTTAATCCAAAGATTTTTTTAGCAAATATGAAAAATTTTATCATGCACAGATTAATAGTGGTCATGAACGTTCAGGTAAGGGGTCAGCGCATTGATTTCAAGGTCTTCAGGCTCAAATGCCTACATGCTTCCATAATAAAAGTGGGCGTTTACTAGGTTATTTTTATATCAGGAAGTTTTGTTTACAAAAGGAGAGGAAAATGAAAAAAGGCAAAGTAAACAAAACCAAAGACACAATAAACATTGAATTTTTTCTCTTGAAGAGTTGGCAGCAAAAAATTACTTTTAACAATTTGGTGAGGAATGAAGCACCTCTCTTCCTCCTCTTGATAAAATGAATATGAGAAGATACTTAATGGATACACCATTCCCAGGTGCCCCCAGATCTTTCAATTCAGCCATCAGAAACAAATTTAATGAAACACAGCCTTCTGAACTTCATAGTAATCCCCATGGAAGGGAAAACTAAACACATTAAATAAAGAAATCAGGGCACAGATGGGAAAACAAATATACTGGCTCATACTTACCACATTTCCTGGCAAGCCCCTTGGACCTGGGGGCCCTGCTGGTCCACTCAAACCCTGTTTTAAGAAAAATGAAGTGTGTGTGTGTGTGTGTGCATATCACAACTTGTATCACCATAGGAACAAGATGTTCCAAGTGAGATTGGATTTCATGTCAGACAAGGTGTTGTACATCAAGAAGGCAAAAAACAGCACATTTGTTTGCAACTTTTTAGTGTAAAGAGTAATGAAACAATACAAAATGGATGAAGGCTCTCTTTGGGAACTTAAAGCTACCTTCTATCAAAAGAAATACTAAATCTAGCTCAGATACAGGAAGTAAAGTCTGGGCCAGAAACATCAGAAGAACTGAGTAAAGAATGTTGATTTACCATAAAAGAAAGTAGGTCAACAAAATATGCTTTGTTGACAATTCTACCTTTCTCTGCTGTGGGGAACAAAACCTGAAAACATTCTTTTGCACTGAACAGGTAAAATAGCCTCAACCATCCAGAGTGTATAGTTTTAAATTGCAGGTCTTTACCCATTTGCAATTCAAAGCCTTGTAGCATGAGAAAGCTCACAGGTCTCCCCAAAATCTCAAGGGATACATTAGAGGACATATATTTGGGGATTTATGTCCCCATAGAGATGTATGTTTGGGGTTATCAGGCTGTATTCAAAGGATTCATAGAATCATAGATTTGGGTTGGAAGGGACCTTAAACTTCATCTGGTTCCAAGCCCTCTGTCATAAACAGGGACACCTTCCACTAGACAGCTGGTGCTGGGCAACCTGTGCCAGTGCTTCATCCCCTTCAAAGGAAATAATTTCCTCCTAATACTAATCTGAACCTACTCTCAGTCTGAAGCCATTCCTCCTTGTCCTATCAGCCCATGCCCTTGCAGAATGTGCCTCTCCAGCTCTGTTATGTTTCCTCTTTAGGCCCTGAAAGGGGCTCTAAGATCTCCTTGGAGCCTTCTCTTCTCCAGGCAGAACAATCCCAATCCTCTCAGCCTTTGCTCATAGCAGAGGTTTAAAGGTTTCCTCATTTCTGTGTTATTTACAGTCACTGGTCTATGAGCCAACAGAAACATGGAGCAGCAGCAGTCTGTAAAAGGATGGCAAGAAAAGAGAAGGTGCCTGCAAATACCTGCATTTCCATATCATTAACATCCTCTGAGCCACAAGGTTATACAAAGCAATAAGACCATGGAATGGGTTTTTGTGGAATAGTTTTTGCCATCATTTTTTTTTTCCCTTCTCTCCAAAATACTAAAGGGTCCTTCAACCAAGATTGAAAGACTCCTGAAAATATGCAGTTCAGGGTTTAGGGTGAAAGCATTCCTTAGAGACAACAGCACAAGCCCAAGAAAGAAAACCATGAACACAAAGGTGGAAGAAGAAATTTTAGTGGTCTAGGATGCATGATTTAGATTTCCTATTCCTTCCTTCTCCTAATCAGTCATCCCCTCTCTCAATCATGATTTCAAACAGTTCTTCAGTGTTTCTTCCTTCTTGGCTTGCAAAGAAAGTCTGAAGCATTTTATTCAGCTGCAAAGGTCTCATATGATTTCACAAAAATGGAACTGGACTGGAATCCTTTACTGTTCCTAAGCACACAGACAGACAAGATCAGCACTCCGTAAAACAAATACCTCAAAAAAGGGTGTGGGATCAGTCTTCTGAATGAGCCAATATATTAAAAAAAAAAAAAAAAAAAAAAAAAAAAAAAAAAAAACAAAAATAAA